ATAACTTGTAAATTTTTATTTAGGCACTAAATTTTGTAATGAAGTAGCCACCATCAGTGTAATAGAAGTTGCTTTTACCCGAGGTGTGACTGACAGCGGTGCTCAGTATGTTCTCTCTCTCTCCCATTTTTTTCGTGTGGGAGGCAACCCAATTTTTGGTGGCCTTGCTTCGGCGAGGCATATTAAGTAAAAAAGGAAAGATGAGTGGGGTGTGAGTGGTGGGGTTTGATTCCGAGAGTGCTTTTTTTTATTTACCAAATGTTTAGGAAAGCTCTTGGTTTTACTTTCACTATTTACTCTGAGTTGCTGAAGAAAGTGTGCTGTTCCGTTTTCACCGCTGGGGGTCAGCGGTTGGGCCGTAGGTTTATAGCTTAGAAAAACCTTGTTTTAAGTGCTAATGTGCTTTCTTTCATGTTAGTATTTCTTTTTTTCTTCCATGGGAAAGTGTCCACTGGCGAGAATAAAAAAGAAAAAAAAACAAAACGATGGTGTACTATTGACTTTTTTTCTTCCTATTTCTATTATGAACATCAGTACTGTATTTCTACTTGCTTTGTGTTTCTTTTATTTTCTAGTTGTGTAAGTTGTATGGTTAGATGGTATATTAGAAGTTTTTCTTTTTTCTTAAAGTGCATCTGTGGTGTTGTGTACTTCCTTCTCAGAACTGCTTTTGCTGTGTCCCATGGAGTTTGTGTTGTGTGTTCATTTTCTTTTTTTTAATCTTTATTGTTGAATGTAGAATGTATTACAGATGTTCCACATTTTTCCCCCATTGACCCCCTCCTCCCCACGCCCGCCTTTCCCCACACTATTGTCTGAGTCCATTGGTTATGCATATAAGTTCTTTGGTTTATTTCTTCCCACGCCCCCTCCCCCCAACCCCTTTCCCTTTGAGGTTTGTCAGTCTAGCAATGAATTTGTACTTCTTAATCTCTTCACCTTTTTCACCCATTCCCCCAACCCCTTCCCATCTGGCAACCAACCAAATGTTCTCTGTATCTATGAGAATGTTTCTGTTCTACCTGTTCATTTTGTTTGTAGATTCCATTGTTCATAGATATGTATTCATTGCCACTTTGTTTGTTCATATATTTTATCTTTTTTCTTCAAAAAGGCCCTTCATCATTTCATATAATAATGGTTTGGTGGTGATGAACTCCTTTAACTTTTTCTTGTCTGGGAAAGTCTTTATATGGCCATGGATTCTAAATGACAGCTTTGCAGGATAGAGTAATCTTGGTTGTAGGTTCTTGCTTTTCATCACTCTGAATATTTCTTGCCACTCCCTTTTGGCACCCCAAGATGCGAATGTTGGCACGCTTGAAGTTGTCCCAGAGGCTCCTTACACTATCCTCATTTTTTTGGATTCTTTTTTCTTTTTGCTCTTCTGATTGGGCGTTTTTTGCTTCCTTATATTCCAAATCGATGGTTTGCTTCTTGGATTTACGTACTCTACTATTGAAGCTGTATAAATTATTCTTTATTTCAGTTAATGCCTCCTTCAATTCTGACTGTGCATCCATAATTTCTGACTGGTCTTTTTTTATGCTCTTGAGGCCCTCACTGAGTTCATTGAGCATCCTTATAAGCAGTATTTTGAACTCAGCATCTGTTAGGTTGCTTATCTCCATTTCGCTTAGTTCTTTTCCTGGGGTTTTGTTCTGTTCTTTCATTTGGGACCTGTTTCTTTGTCTCCTCATTTTCGCTGCCTCCCTGTGTTTGTTTCAGTGTATTACTTAACGAGAGGTATGGGGCTAGCTGAGACCAGATGCTGCTCGTTTGAAAGAATTTAGGAAAAACTTGAAGCAGGATCCAAGACAGGCCAATCCTATGGTTAAGCAAGTGGCAACAGCTTGGGTGGGCCTGAAAGTTGTGTGGCGTGGGGTGTGGCTTCAGGGAGTCATCAGGGCGGGGCTACCAGTGTGAGCCAGGTTGCTGGAGTCCCAGATATGGCTTCTGTCTGCCGCCCCCGAGAAGGGCTCACCAAAGGAACAAAGGCCTCTGACAGCACGTTTGTCCCGGAGAAAGTGCCCTCTCCAGCCCTCGCTCCAGTGCCAAACAGCTCAGTTCTTCCCTGTATGTCTCTGGTGCCCCTCGAGCTGCCTCCGCTCCAGGCTTAGAGGGAGAGAGTCCGATAAGTTTGCGCGGGCCCTTTAAGGAGCTGCCTGGGGCTCCAGCCGCTTCAGCTTCCCTGAGCCTCAGTTCCTGCTGTTTTTTCCAGCCAGAAGTTATGGGGATTCTCTTTCTGGCACTGGAACCCTGAGCGGGGCACCTAGTGTGGGACAGGGACCTCTCAGTCCTCAGGGAGGACCTTCCCAGCTGAGGTGTCCTCCTGATTTTTATCTGCCACACGTGGGTGTGGGACCAGCCCGTCTGCCTCCACCCCTCCTACCAGTCTGGATGTGGCTGCTGCTTTAATTCCATAGTTGTAGGACTTCCATTCAGGATGATTTCAGGCAGTTTTGAATGATGGTTGTTCTGTAGTTTAGTTGTAACTTTGATGTGGTTGTGGGAGGACGATACCGCGTTTACCTACGCTGCCATCTTCACCGGAAGTCTGTGTGTTCATTTTCATTGGTTCTAGGAAGTTTTTAATTTTTTCCTTGATTTCCTTGGTAACCCATTCATTGTTTAATAACATGCTATTTAGCCTCCATGTGGTCAAATGTTTTTGCATGTTCTTGTAATTGATTTCTAGTTTCATGTCATTGTGATCTGAGAAGATGCTTGATATTTCAATCTTCTTGAATTTGTAGAGACTTAATTTATGTCCTAACATGTGGTTTGTCTTTGAGAATGTCCCATGTGCACTTGAGAAGAATGTGAATTCTTCAGTTTTGGGATGTAACTCTCTGTAGATATCTATAAAATCCATTTGATCTAGTGCATCATTTAGAGTCTTTGTTTCCTTGTTACTTTTTATTTATTTTTTGGTCTAGAGGATCTATCCAGTGGTGTCAGTGGGGTATTGAAGTCCCCTGTTATTATTGTATTGTTGTGGATTTCTCCTTGGAAGTCCTCCAGAAGATATTTAGTATATTTTGGTGCTCCTATATTGGGTACATATATGTTTATCAAGGTTATATCTTCCTGTTGGATAGATCCTTTCAATATTATGTAGTTGCCTTCTTTGTATCTAGTTATGTCCTTCATTTTGAAATCTATTTTATCAGATATGAGTATTGCTACCCCAGCTTTTTTTTCCCTTTCCGTTTGTTTGGACGATTTTTTTTTTCATCCCTTTGCTTTCACCTATGTGAGTCTTTTGTTGTGAGATGGGTCTTTTACAAACAACATATATGTGAGTCATGCTTTCTTATCCAATCAGCTACTCTGTGTCTTTTGATTGGGGCGTTCAGTCCATTTACATTTAAGGCTGTTATTGATGTATACTTATTTGTAGCCATTTTAGTTTATTGTGGTTATATTTTTCTTCTTATTTCTACTAATTACAGCAGTCCTTTTAACATTTCTTGCAGTGCTCGTTTGGTGCTAATATATTCCCTTAGCCTTTTTTTTTTCTTTTGTGTCTGGGAAACTTTTTATTTCACCTTCTATTTTGAATGATATCCTTGCTGGATAGAGTAGTCTTGGATTCAGATTCGTGTTCTTCATGACCTTGATTATTTCATGCCACTCCCTTCTGGCCTGTAGTATTTCTTGTGAGAAGTCAGCTTAGAGCCTTATGGGGTTTCCTTTGTAGATAACCTGTTGCTTATCTCTTGCTGCCTTTAGGATTCTCTCATTGTCTTTAATTTTTGGCCTTTTAATTACTATGTGTCTTGGTGTGGGCCTCTTTGTGTTTTTCTTGCTTGGGGCTCTCTGTGCTTCTTGAACTTGAATGCCTTCTTCCTTCACCAAGTTGGGGAAATTTTCTGTCACTATTTCTTCAAATATATTCTCTAACCCTTGCTCATTTCTTCTTCTTCAGGGACTCCTATGATGGGAATGTTACTGCGTTTCCAGTTGTCCCACAGTTCTCTTAAGTTATCTTCCTGTTTTGAAATTGTTTTTTTCTTTTGGTTTTTTAATTGGTTGATTTTTTTTTTACCCTGTCTTCTAATTCACTGATCCGATCCTCAGCTTCCTCTACTCTGCTGGTTATTTCTTCCAATGTGTTCTTTATTTCTGTTATGTCATTCTTCATTTCTACTTGGTTGGTTTTCAGTGTTTCTTTGTCTTTAGTCATGGTGTTGATGTCCTTACTCGTGCGGTTGAGCTTCCTCAAGATCATGGCTCTGAACCCTACCTCTAATAACTTGCTTAACTGCATTTCATTTATCTCATCTTCAGTAGAATTCTCTTGTTCTTTTATTTGGGATTTGTTTCTTTGTTTCACCATTTTTGCTATCTCAGTGGGTTTTGGAGCCTGCCAAATTTTCCCTGTGGGTGTTGGTGTTCTGCTGTTTGTGGCTCCTTCTACTGGGTTTGGATGAGTGTGTGATGACCCACGTTCAACACCACTGTCAAGTCTTACTTTCCTGGGTAGATTTGCAAGTCCAGGAAAGGTTCAGTTATCCTCTAGCTTTTTGCCTGGAGGCTATTAGTCTCAGTTACTTGATGAGCCTTGGGTTGTAGCCCTCAGCTGAATGAAAAACTTCCTCAGGTGTTCAGTACAGGAGGATTTTCCAAGGGTAGGGTAGATGCTGGTTGTTAATGAACCTCATTTTGTATTTCTCTGGCCCAGCTGAGTGGGGTTAAATCTCCAAGGGACTGCTGCTTCTCCCCACAGCTCTGGGAAGGAGCAAGATGGCCACTGTCCTGTGTGGCCGTGACTCAGCAAAAACTCTGAGTGCCCTCCATATCCCGAGTGTCCCCACAGAGTTCCAGTCCAGTCTGCCCTACCTCTGCCAGAGCCCAAGGTGAGTGGTTGTAGCTAATTTAGCGCTCTGTCCCAGCCCTCTGCGCTGTGGATGTTAACCCTGAGGGAGCTGCTCACAGCTAAAACAGCTGTTGTCCGTGGGCTCCCAGCCCACCCTCTCGTGCCTCCACAGACCTACCAGGCTCCGTTCATTGTCCCCTTTTCCTGCCCCTGGTCATATGGTCCTCCCCAGCTGCTGTTCTTGCTTTTGCCCGACGATTTGTCTTTTAGTTGCAATTCCAGTTTTGTCCTGGGAGATGGTCTGTGTAGCTTCCATTCACTCAGCCACCATTTTGGAATCTCTCTAAAAAAGATACAGGATTAGTAAGAATATCTATTTCATCTTAGGTGAGCTTTCATAGCTTGTGTCTTTCATGGACTTTGCTCACTTTACCAAAGTTGTCAAATTTATTGGTGTAAAATTGTTCACATATTTCCTTATTATCTTTTCATGTCTGTAAGATCTGTCTTTCTGATACAATTTGTGTCCTCTATTTGTTTCTTGATTAGACTGGCTAGAGTTTAATCAATTTTATTAATATTTTCAAAGAAAAAGTTTTTTGTTTCAATGATTTTTTTTTTTTTTAAATCCTCACCTGAGGACATTTTTGCATTTATCTTCAGACAGAGTGGGAGGGAGAGAGGGGGGAAAAGAGAGACACATCGATTGGATACCACCCACATGACCCAGCCGGGCACAAACTGCAACCAAGGTATGTGCCCTTAGTAGTAACCGAACCCGGGACTCTCTGGCCCACAGGCCGACACTAACCGCTGAGCCAAACTGGCTAGGGCTCAATGATTTTCCCTTATTCTTTTTTTTTGTTTTCTGTTTCACTGATTTGTGTTCTTATATTTAGTATTTCCTTTTGTCTGTTTATGCTTAATTTACTAAATTTTTTTTGTTATTGTTTGACTGCAAAAATCAGAAGGCTCTGATGGACAGCCAACACATTCCTGTGGTGCTCTGATCGAAGGCAAGACAGCTTAGATATGGGATGAACTACAATCCAACTACCTATGGCTTCAAGCAGTGAGAAGAACAGCCATCAGAATTTTACTAGTTTCTTAGTGTGGAATTTTAAATCACTGATTTGCCACTTTTCTTTTATGCTAATAAGCATTTTATTCTAAAACTTTTTTTAAAGCATCACTTTAGTTGTGTTCCATAAATTTTAATTGGATGTACTTATATTTTTATTCAGTTCATAATACTTCATAATACTGTCTCATGATTTTTTATTTAGAAGTGTGCAGTTAATGCCCTGGCTGATTTGGCTCAGTGGTTGGAGCATCGGCCTGAGGACCAGAGAGTCCCAGGTTCTGTTCCCACTAGGGGCACATACCAAAAAAAAAACATGCAGTTTAATATCCAAATATATGGGGATTTTACTGTTTTTTTTTTTTTTTTTTAGTTAATGATTTTTATTTTAATACCATGTGGCCAGAGTACAAATTTTGTATAATTTCAGACCTCTTAAATTTATTCTGATTTGTTATATGGCCCAGAATATGGTCTGTCTTGGGGAATGCTCTGTCTGCTATTGAAAATAATGTGAATTTTGCTGTTGGTAGGTGGAGTCTTTTATATATGCCATTTAGGTCAGGTTGGTTGATAGTGTTGTTCAGATCTTCAGTATATATCTACCTAACTGATTTTGTGTTTATTTGTTCTGCTAATTACCAAGAGAGTAATTTTACCATCCTAAATAAAAAATGTTATTACCTAGAAATATATCCTTCCAGCATTTTTTAAACATCAGTATAATTTTTAAAGTGAGGTCATATCAAAATATTTCTTTGTAGTATTCATTTCCTCTTAATATTTCTTTCTTTTTTTATGCTCACCCGAGGACATTTTTCCATTTTTTGTTCAGATAGAGCTGGAGGGAGAGAGAGGAAGAGAGAGAGAGAGAAACATCAATGTGAAGGGACACATCGAGTGGCTGCCACCCGCACGATCAACCAGGGCCGGGGACAAACTGCAACCGAGGTACGTGCCCTTAGCGGGAACAGAACCCGGGTCTCTCTGTACCGCAGGCCGACGCTCCAACCGCTGAGCCAGACCGTCCAGGGCTCCTCTTAATAGTTTTCTATGATCATGTTTATACTGATCTATAGTAGCTTTTCTTCTTTTTTATCCTCACCCAAGGGCATTTTTGCACTTATCTTTAGATAGAGCTGGAGGGAGAGAAAGAGGAAGAGAGAAAGAGAGAAACATCAACGTGAGAGAGACACATTGAGTGGTTGCCACCCACACGACCCCAACCAGGGCCGGGGACAAACTGCAACCGAGGTACATGCCCTTAGTGGGAACCCAGCCTGGGCCTCTCTGGTCTCTGGACTGATGCTCTAACCACTGAGCAAAACCGGCCAGGGCTATAGTAGCTTTTTAATAGATTTATAGTATATAATCAATTTATGGTATATAATCCCAATTTATTTCTGATTTTTTTCTGTTAATAACAATGCAATGTACAGTATTTCTTTAGGATATAACTGTTGTATCAAAGACCATGCAAAATTCAAAAGCTATGGAATATTGTCAAAATGTCTGTCTTAAAGTTTGTACTGATGGGTAGTATACTAACATTAGGTGTCTACTATTTACTTTGTTAGGAGGTGTAGATAGGATTTGTATAATAATTTTAATTTTTTGGTCCTTTCTTCATTTTTGCCTAGAAGCTAATAAACTAGTTATTTCTATATGCTTTTATTTAATCAAAGACAATTTTTACATTTAGCACAGTTTAAATGGTTCATCAAAAATAGGGACTTTTGCCCTGGCCAGTTTGGCTCAGCGGTTAGAGCGTCCGCCTGCGGTCCGGAGAGACCCGGGTTCTGTTCCCGCTAAGGGCATGTACCTCGGTTGCAGTTTGTCCCCGGCCCTGGTAGGGCCGTGCGGGTGGCAGCCACTCGATGTGTCCCTTTCACATCGATGTTTCCCTCTCTCTCTCTTCCTCTCTCTCCCTTCCACTCTGTCTGTACAAAAAATGGAAAAATGTCCTCGAATGAGGAAAAAAAAAAAAAAAGGAAAAAAAAAAATAGGGACTTTTTTCACAGCCTCTTTGAAAAGAAGTGGAGTAACACATTTTGTTGTGATTACACAGGTAAAACATGTCACTTTCCAGTGTGTATTTTGTGACTTAGTATAGAGAACTTTTTATTCTGTTTTGGATCAGTCCATGGGTTTTGGCTATCTTTCAAGAAGGCCAAAGTTAAGATATTGGTGCTCTAAGGAGGTAGAATAGTGCTAGTGGTTAAATGTAGTATGTGGTAAAAATTGGGAGGGGTATGTTTTTATTCTGGGTGAGAATAAGTGTTTATGAGATAATAGAAAAAATATATATCTATTGGTCTCTGCTCCTAGATCCTGGCACAGAGCTCCATAAAAATCCTCATAATTTTCTAATTGATAAGATCACTACAAGCATCTCTTGTTCTAATATTTGGTGTTTGACCCCATTCTTGGAACAGAGCTTCTAAAACCCTTATAAATTCCTAAGTGATAAGATCACTAAGCACATCTTTTGTTCTAATCAGGTGACTGGGTGGGCTCCTAGATGGTGGCTGGTCACCAGAAAGACCAAGTAATGATTAGATTAGAATTTTCAGCCCCACCTCCCATTCTCCAGAGACAGGAGAGGGAGTAGAAAGGTAATCATGGAGCATGCATGCCTAAGTGAAGAAGCTTCACGTAGTAAAGGAGACATACGGAAGTAAGGAAACTGGGATTTCTTAACAATGTTTTCTTTATATTAGTGGATCTAACACAGATTAATTTTTCTGAATGGACCTGGCTTGGTTCTGTCCTTCTGATTCATGTACTTTTAGAAAAGGTTGTAGTTTCTCCATTCTACTCTGTTTCCACCATAAAAGACGATGATGCCTTGAAATAATAACTGGTTCATTTTTTCCTCCTTTACTATGAATCATAGCATTTTAATGTCTGTGACTTCTTTGGCAGTCATTTGAAACATTTTAATGCCTGACATTTGTATTTCGATATTAAAGACTTTATATGTTCAACGGGTGTTTTCTAGCATTTCTTTAAAACATTTTTTTTTTTTAATTTATTTAGAGAGAGGGAGAGGGAGACAGAGATAGAAACACCCATGAGAGAGAATACCGATTGGACGCCTCCTGCATGCCCCCCACTGGGGATCGGGCCCACAACCTGGCAGGTCTCCTGTCTGGGAATGGAACCAGTGACCTGTTGGTGCCTGGGTCGACGCTCAGCCACTGAGCCACACTGGCCAGACTTCTAGCATTTCTTTAATGTGAAACAGCCTTCCTGTAGTTTACACTCTAGTTCTTGTAGGTACCCAAACAGGCACTCTGGTGCTGTCATTGCACAGAAAAGGAAAGCTCTGTGAAGGATAAAGTATCTGTGGTAACATGTGAGCTGACCTTTGAGGGACTGCTAGTATTTTGTGCCTGAGGATCATGATTTCAGTCTTCTTAGAGGGGTCTTGAATTATCAACTGGGGGACTCAGCCATTTGATCATACAACATTATATACCATTGTATTCCCACCACAGAGGTCCCTCTGCTTTTAGGATTCCCTCTAAAAGCAGAGCTATGAGGTAGTTTTCTAATTTACAGTCTTTCTCTATTAAAATACTTTTAAGGCATCAGATTATTCCATGGTTGGCAATTCTGAGTTCCTGAAAATAACTGAATCACTGCAGCTGATTTTATTCTGACAACCGACAGCATATACATGGGTCATGTTTTCTTATCCATTCAGCTGCCCTGTGTTTTTTGATTGGAACATTTAAGCCATTTACATTTAAGGCTATTATTGATAGGTACTTATTTGTTGCCATTTTTATTCTTTATGTCTGTGTTCCTCTCTCTCTCTCTCTCACTCTCTCTATTTCTTCTTATAGCAGTCCCTTTAGTATTTCTTGTAGTGCTAGTTTGGTGGTAGTAAACTCCTGTAGCCTTTTTTTTTTGTCTGAAAAGCTCTTTATTTCACCTTCAATTTTTAATGATATCCTTGCTGGATAGAATATTCTTGGATTCAGTCCTTTGCTTTTCATTATTTTGTATATTTCATGCCACTTCCTTCTGGCCTGCAGTCTAATTGGAGCTCCCTTGTGTAGGTGACTTTCTGTGTCTCTCTTGATGTTCTTAAAATTCTTTCTTTGTCTTTAATGTTTGCCATTTTAATTATTATGTGCCTAGGTGTGGGTCTTTTGGGTTCATCTTGATTGGGACTCTGTGTGTTTCCTGAACTTAAGTGACTTTCCTTCACTAGGTTAGGGAAGCTTTCTGCCATTATTTCTTCAAACGGGTTCTCTATTCCTTGTTCTGATTCTTCTCCTTGTGGTACCTTTGTGATGCGGATATTGTTACGATCCATGTTGTCCAAAAGTTCCTTTAAATGATCGTGCTTTTTAATTTTTTTTTTTCTATTTGCGGCTGTGATTGGGTGTTTTTTTTCTACTTTGTCTTCTAATTCGCTGATTTTGTCCTCAGCTGCTTTTTATCTACTGTTGATTCCTTCTAGGATAGTTGTTATTTTAACTATGTCACTCTTCATTTTTCATTTTTTTAAAAAATATGTTTTTATTGATTTTTTTAGGGAGAGAGAGATAGAAACATAGTGTAAGAGAGATACACTGATTGGCTGCTTCCTGCACGCCCCCTGCTGGGGATCGAATCCGCAACCCAGGCATGTGCTCTGACTGGTAATTGAACAGGACCTCTCAGTCCATTGGATAACACTCAGTCCATTGAGCCACATTGACTGGGCTCAAGTGGTTCTTATTTATTGTTTCTGAATCTGTTTTCATGATGATGAAGTTTCTAATAAGTTCATTGTAGTTCTTACTAAGTTGTTTGAGCATCCTTTTATCCATTACTTTGAATTCTATATCTGATCAACTGCTTGCCTCCATTTCATGTAGCTCTTTTTTTGGAGATTCTTCTTGTTCTTTCATTTACGGCCTGTTTCCTTATTTGCCCATTTTTGCTATTTCTTTGTGTGTGTTTTTCTGTGTATCGGATAAGACTGCTATGCCTCCCTGTCTTGGTGAGGTAGCCTTTTTATGGGACCCAGTGGATTCATTTTCTTGATCATCTGAGCTGAGTGCCTAGGAATGACCCTTGTAAGGGTTATGTGGGCTCTTCTGTTGAATTTGAGTGTTGATTGCTTTGTCTGTTTGTGGCTGGGCTCAACCCTCAGGGTTGTTGACAGTGATTCTCAACCCCTACCCCTGCCAACTATTATCTAGGTGTTGACAGAACTAAACAAGACAAAAGTAGACCAAACCAAAAAGCACCTGAAAAACAGCAACAGCAATAATAAAAGTAACAGCTTCAACAAAAAGATAAAAAGGCAAACAAAACACACACACACACACACACACAGAGAGAGAGAGAGAGAGAGAGAGAGAGAGAGAATACTAGAAGGCAGGAGTCGGGAAAAATAAAGAGGAGGGGAAAAATTAGAATATGAAGGCAAAGAAGGCTGAGACCAGAAATAGGCTAAATATATATATAAAAAAGGAAAACAATGAATGAAATAATAATAATTTCAGAAAGTAATAATGCTAAATAAAATAAAACATAGATTAAGAAAGGATAAAATGGGAAAGGAAAACTATTTCAATTAAAAAAATAATAAAAGGTCCCGAGGTATGGCGGGGCTAGGGCCAGGGGCAGCGCCCACAGAACCAGCTAGGGGGTCTCTAACCCTGTCCCCTGGGCCGGGACCGACAGTGGAAAGGATGTGATCACAAAAGCGCTTTAAAAAGATCACTCTGGCTGTGGAATGGATTGGCAGTGGACAGCAGTGGATTTAGGGGGACCAGAGATGTGATAATGGATTATCATGTTTCTACCATCAAACCTCTAAGAATCCAGAGCCAGAATGTCATTCACCACTTGGAATGCTGGGGATTCAAGGCAGGTGCCACTGGCATCAGGTCCCAGTGTCCCACCAGAATGTCTTCCCCAACTTCACAGTTGACAACGTTGAAAAGCCTCCTTGTTTCTTGCATAAATTCTCACCCGAAAGACGATACTTTAATGCTTTTCTCTTCAGACCAGACATCTCTGGGAATCTGAGTACCAGGGCTGCCAAGCAGCCGAGGACCTCCTGCAGGGCTGTGAGGGGTGGTCCTGTCCGATGGCCGTGCCCAGTGGGCAGTCAACCTCCACAGACGGCTCTTTGGATGGTGTTTGTCCTGCTGCAATTACAACATAGCCGCCAGTGGTGAGCGCCGGAACCGGAGTGCAGCCTGTTCACCGACACTGCCAGTGTGCCATCGTGGGCTCAGCTGCCTGCCTCCCTCCCGGATGAGCCTCACGCGCCCTTTTAAGAGGTGTGTCGGAACAGTGAATCTGTGACCCGCAACCCACAGTCCCCTCTGGAGAACTCTTCCCTCCACATCACTGACCTCCACACTGGCCGCGTACGTGATACCCGCACCTTCAAGTGTGCTACAGTGGTCCTGTCACGCTTAACCAAGGGCTGTACTTGTACAGAAACATCCTGGCCATCTTGTCAGTGCAGCAGCAGACCGTCCATGTCTTCCAGGTGCCTCCTGAAGGCACTTCCACCAACGGGAGGACCACTGGCCGCTTCTACTGTGAGGATGACCCGCTCACTGTGTCAGCTGTTTTCCCTGAGGCATGGAGGGACAGTCAGACAGGCGTGGCTGGTCCTTTCAGGGATCCCTTCATCAACTCCCTGAGACACCGGCTGCTCCTATACTTGTGGCGCTGGGCAGAGCAGGATGGGAGCGCAATGGCCAAAAGGCACTTCTTCCAGTATTTTTTTTTTCTTTTAATCCTCACCCGAGGACATTTTTCCATTTTTTTGTTCAGGCAGAATGGGAGGGAGGGAGGGAGGGAGGGAGAGAGGGAGGGGGGTAGAGAGAGAGAGAGAGAGAGACATCAACGTGAAAGGGACACATCAAGTGGTTGCCACCCACACGTGGGGACAAACTGCAACCAAGGTACATGCCCTTAGCGGGAACTGAACCCCGGTCTCTCTGGACCCCAGGCCGACACTCTAACTGCTGAGCCAAACCGGCCAGGGCACTTCTTCCAGTGTTTTGACCAACTGTGGCAGCAGCGCATGTGGAAAATGCAGCTTCTGGATGAAAGCCATCTGTTTATTAAGTACACTGGTGAGGACGTCGTAACCCTGCGGGTCACAGATCCATCACAGGCATCTTTCTTAGTGGTGTACAACATGGTGACAACAGAGGTGATAGCTGTGTTTGAGAATACGTCATACGAGCTTTTGGAGCTCTTTGAGGACTTCTGTGGTCTCTTCCGTAATGCTACCCTGCGCACTGAAGTCCAGTTTCCCTGCTCAGCTTCCAGCAATTTTGCAAGGCAGATTCAACACCAATTTAAAGACACTGTTGTAAACGCCCAGTATGGAGGGCCCACCGAGGCAGTATGCCAGCTGCTGGGTCAGCTCCCCATCAGTGCTCATTCTTACAGTGGTAGTCCCTACCTTGATTTGTCTCTCTTCAGCTATGATGACGAGTGGATGTCAGTCATGGAGCCACCCAAGACTTGTGGAGATCACCCTATTGGATTCTGTGCCCAGGACTCTGGTCTGCTCAAGCTTGAGATCCAGGCAGGCTTATTGGGCCGCCCCATCAACCACACGGTGTGGCGCCTTGTTGCCTTTACCTTTCACCCCTTTGAGCCCTTTGCTATTTCTGTGCAGAGGACTGATGCAGAGTATGTTGTCATCTTCCACATGCGACACTGCTGCACGTAGGTGCCTCGCCAAAGCCAGATTTTCTGGTCTTCCAAGACTGTTCCCCTTCTTGTCTCGTGGACTCTAAAGCAAAAGCTCCTGACCAGCAGCTCCGTGGGTTCGCGATCGGGTGGTGGACCTCAGATGGGGAGAGCTGGAGAGAGGACTGAGCCTGGCTCAGCCCAATGGAATTTTTAATTGTGTACAGACAACTACTGATTGATTTAAAGCCCTCTTGCTTTTTTCCTGTGGGACTGTCCAGCACTAATTAAGTTCATTTACTTTTTGTTTTAGTTTGCATTTTGTTGCTATGAAGATGAGAGCATTATACCCTCACTCCGTTCATATCAGTTCCTTGGCATTATGTGTACATTCTGTAGCAGGTAAATTGTGTTTACTCATGAGAACTGTGTACACCCTTTCTACTTAGTCAACAAGCAGGGCTATCTTTATAAGAAAACAAAATAATGCCTTGGTATTTTCTTACTTAAATACAAATAATAATAATGATAAAAAGTAAAATAACCACAACAAAAATAACCTTGAATTTGCTATTTGTGGAGCTCATTGGATTTTGCTTCGGTGTTGTTGGATCTGGCCTTTTAGAGTATGAGTCTCTGCCTTTTGGGCACAGGCCAATGTGAATTGCTGTCTCTGACTGGCCCTGGGCAACCCAGCTGAAGCCCTGCAGGGCAGGACCCCAAGTCATCGGTGGGTGAGGTGTCCCTGGCCCAGAGACTGGGTCTGCTTCCGCTCGCCCCTTGAATGTACTTGCTCTGGGCTGCTCTCCCTTCCCCCGTGGAACTGGGCTCTGCAGGCTCTCAGGCCTGTCAGGGTGGTTTAGACAGATATGCATTGAGGACGGTACCTGTAGCTTGTAGGGGGGGCAGGCGGTTGCTTCCTCTCCTTCCAGTGCCTCAGCTCTGCCAGGGTTGCACCCCTTGGTCACGAACTCAAGCAGGGGAGGATACAGTTTGAAAAAGGGAGAGAAAAAAAACTAGCCCTGTTTGGCTATCTAATCTTTTAGCAGGGCCTGCTGTCACTGGGTGGGGCTTCTGCCCAGCCTTCTACCAGGCCAGCTGTCTGAATCCCCAGCCCCGCCAGGGTGCTGATTTCCAGCCCAGAGCTGTTTCACAGGTGGGGGAAGGGACGCCTCCTCTTTGCTTGAGGTGGGGAGAATGGAGCCTCTTTACCTGGGAACTCTCTAAACAGGTCTGGAGTTCTGCTTAGTGGCCCCTCCTGCCAACCACAGTCCTAGGCTGGTGTAACCAAGCATTTCACTGTTAGCCTGGGAGAGGGCTGTCTGAATCCCCCTGGTGGGCCGAACAACCCCTGATTTCCACCGTCCTATGCTACATGGGTTGCCCTTCCCTTCTCTGTTGCTCTTGTTTGGGGATCTCTGTGTGGGGCTGAGCCCCCCACTCCCAGGGGCAGGAGCTGCGCTGGCCCACCTCCCGTCTGGCTCCCCAGCGCAGCTGCACAGCTGTGCGAGTTGGCTCACCCACTCCCTGTCTTCTCCTGTCCCCTCTCCGCGCTCCTGGCTCTCAGTATTTCCAACCAGCTATTTTCAGGTGGTTTTTCAAATTGAATGTTTAGCCACAAGTTCAGTCCAATGCTAGGAGCAAGTGGATGGAACCTCCTTAGGCGGCAGCCATCTTTCCTCCTCCTATCTTTTTTGTTTTTTGTTTTTGCTAAGTAGAACAAAGAGTTTGTGGACTTTCCCTGATTTAAAAAAAAAAAACATAGCAGGAAAAAAATTTTAAAAATCCTGGCTCTGGGTTTCTAGTTCAGGGCAGAATAGAGTTAAGCACATTCTTTCCTACTCAATGCAATGATAAAACCTGGCCAGAATGCTTGCAGCAGCTATTTGAGGATGGTGGAAAGTAAATAATGGGAGGTGGAAAGTAAATAATGGCAGGTAGATTGGGAAAGAAGACCAGAATTCAAAGTACTTTTGAAATGGCATTGAGTTTACCGTTTCCCCGCTTTGGTCCTCTTGCTATTAGGCCCCAGATGCAGGCATAGCTGTGGATATACAGTATGTAGACTGGAAAGCTTCAATATTGGGGGGATCTCAGAGAAGGAAGAGCTCAGGAAAGCAACTTCATATAGTTGTGTCTGTGTGGATCTGGTCCTACTTAGCATATGGATGACTTTGAGAACTGAACTAATAAATAGACCAACACCCAGGTTCCAAACTGGGCACCATATGGTACATGAAGGGCACACTACCAAACAACACTGAAAAAGCTTTGAAAACTAAAGCAAGATTGTTAGCATTCACTAGAAGATTTCAGTATGACCCAGGGTCTTATAATATTCAAAAATTTTTATGGTACAATCTAAAATTACTCAGCATATACAAATTGAGGGAAGTGCCAGTGATGGAATGACATAGATACTTTATAAATGTCTTTTTTTTTTTTTTTTTTTAGAGAGAGAGAGAGGAAGGGATAGAGAGATAAAAGCATCAATGTGAAAGAAACATTGGTCGGCTGCCTCCTGCCTGCCCCCAACGGGGAATGAGCCCTCAACCTGGGCATGTGCCTTGATCGGGAATCGAACCAGGACCTCTGAGTCCATGGGACAATGTTCAGTCCACTGAGCCACACCGGTTGGGCTGGAATGACATAGATATTGAGCTTATCTGACATAGACTTTAAAGCAGCAATGATACAAATGTTCCAACAAGTTGCCTCAAAATCTTGTGAAACAAATGGAACAATGAAATTCTCAGCAAAGAAATGTATGATGTAAAAAAGAACCAGTACAATAACCAAAAAAGAAAATCTCACTGGATGGCTTCAATAATGGAATGAAGATGACAGAGGAAAGAAATCAGTAAAGTTGAAGATAAAGCAATAGAAATGATATAGTCTAAATAACAGAGATAAAAGAGAGAAAAAAATTAAACCGGATTTCAGGAATCTGTGGGACACGAACAAAGGTCTGACGTTCATGTCATTGGAGTTCCAGCAGAAGAGGAGAAAGAATGTGGATGTGGTGCTGGCCCTGGCCGGTTTGGCTCAGCAGTTAGAGAGTTGACCTGCGGACCAGAGAGTCCTGGGTTTGGTTCCTGCTAAGGGCATGTACCTCGGTTGCAGTTTGTCCCCAGCCCCGGTTGGGGTCGTGTGTGTGGTGACCACTCGATGTGTGTCTCTCTCATCAATGTTTCTCTCTCTCTCTTCCTCCCTCTCTCTCTCCTGCTTTATCTGATGATAAATGCAAAAAAAAAGTCCTTGGGTGAGGATTAAAAAAAAAAAAAAAGATTGTGGTGCTGAAAAGAATAATGACTGAAAAAAATTTAAATTTGGTAGAAGATATAAGCTAACAGATTCAACAAGCCCAGTAAACCAAAGCGAGATAAGCTCAAAGAAATCCACCGCCTCACAGATCACAGCCAAACTTCTGAAAATTAAAGACAAATACTTGAAAGCAGCTAGAAAAAAACCCAAAAAACCAACATATTAACCTCTAGGGGGATGATTATTGAAATGACTATGAATTCCACCCCAGAAACTATAGAGGCCATAAGTGGTACAGCATTTTTAAATTACAGAAAGAAAGGAAGTCAACCCAGAATTTCATATCAAGTTAAAAATAGCCTTCATAAATGAATGTGAAACAAAAACATTCTCAGGTGAAGAAAAAGCCAGAAAATTCACAGCCAGCAAATTTATTCTAAACAATAGCTAAAGGAAGTTCTTTGGACAGCAGGAAAATGATATCAGAAGGACTTTATTGGAACATCAGGAATGAAGGAAGAGCAGTAGAAATATTAGATGTCTGGGTAAATATAATAGACTATTCTCTTCTTGCGTTCTTTTTCTTTCTTTCTTTTTTTTTTTTTATTCTCACCTGAGGATATTTTTTCCATTTTTTGTACAGATAGAGTGGGAGGGAGAGAGAGGAAGGGAGAGAGAGTGAGAAACATCGACGTGAAGGGACACATCGAGTGGCTGCCACCCGCACGACCAACCAGGGCCGGGGACTAACTGCAACCGAAGTACGTGCCCTTAGTGGGAACCGAACCCGGGTCTCTCCGGACCGCAGGTTTAAGATTACTATAACTAAAGGGGAAAGAGGTAAAGGGAACTAATGTGGTAAGGTTTCTACATTCTACTTGAAGTGGTAAAGTATTGATTCTAAGTAGACTCTGAAAATATAAATATTTAGATTGTAATCCCTAGAGTGATCACTTAAGTAACTATACAAAGAGATATAGTAAAACAACAACAACAATAAATTAAACTGAAATACTAGTAAATGTTTAAATATTGCAAAATAAGGCAGGAATGAGGAAAAAGAACAATGAAAACTGGAACAGAAAACAATAAAAAGGTGAGTAAAAAGTCCAGACATATAAATAAATAATAATTAAATATAGTCTAAATGAAACAATCAAAATACAGAGATGATCATATTAGATTTAAAAAATAACCAAGCCACATGCTGTGTATAAGAAAGTGTCTTAAAAAATAATAATACAGGAAGGTTAAACTACCCACCCCTGGGTATTTACTCCAGAGAAATTAAGACTTATTCTCACACAATAGCATATATATGAGTGTTTATTGAATCTCTATTTACAATTGCTAAAAAACTGGAAACAATGCTTTGTGTATTTTCCTAATACAATGGAATACTACTTAACTGACAAAAAGGAATAATCTATTGATACATGCAGCAAATGGGATGAATATCAGAAGTATTATATTGAGTGAGAGAATCCAGTCTTAAAAAATTAGGTACTATATGATTCCATTTATGTAACAGTATTGAAAATACCAAACTATACTGCAAGAGAACAGATCAGTGGTCATCAGGAGTTAGGGATGAGGACAGAATGTGACTAAGGGATAGCACAGGTACTGTTTTAGGGAGATGGTAGTGTTCTGTGTCTGATGGTGGCAATGCTTACTTGTACTTAAATTAATTGAATTATACACTAAATAATTAACTGTATGATAAATAAAAAAATGTTTTTCAAAAGCTGACTCTGGTTTGAGTTCCTTGGCTTAGGAACAAAGTCGGATTCCTCTTACAGAGATAACTTGTGTGTGTGTGTGTGTGTGTGTGGTCACTTTAAAGTGTGAGTAGAGACCCCATCAAGCATACCCCAGGCCCCCCAAAATGTTTAGACAAAAATAATTAAGAAAGTAGTGTAAATATAGCTTCAGAACAGGACCTTTCAGTTATAGAAGCAAAGAAAATGAGGGAGAGAGAGCCTGGTCAGATTGTGGGAGGCCAGGGGACTCTAGTAGGACAGCTGGGCACTTGGAAATTCTCTTGGGATCTGCAAGGGAACTTGGATCATAATCCATTTTGAGTGGTTTGCTGAGATAGTTTATTTTCATCACCTCAAAGCGGCACCCCTCAGACTGGGTTGACAGTGCTTTGGAGAAAAACTGCCAGGGTAGAGCAGAGTGTAGCAGAGGGAGGCAAGATATGAACTAGAGCGAGTAGGCAACAGAAACCTTGTTGGGTGAATGTGAAGACTTAGGCTCTGTCTTTTGTTTTCTACTATTAAATAAAAGTGTAATTTTTAGAGTAGAGAAGTTGGAGAAACTCAAAAAGGAGACATCTACGTGATGAAAATGTAATCCCTTTTGTCATGTCAACTGCTGACATTCGATTTATTATTTATTTTTTTATAAACATTTTTTTGGTTTGTTTTTTATCCTCACCCGAGGATATTTTTGCATTTATCTTCAGATAGAGCGGGAGGGAGAGAGGGAGGAAGAAACATCAATGTGAGAGACACATCGAGTGGTTGCCACCCACATGACCCCAACTGGGGCTGGGGACGAACCACAACCAAGGTACGTGCCCTTAGCAGAAACCGAGCCCGGGTCTCTCTGGTCCACGGGCCGACGTTCTAACCGCTGAGCCAAACCGGCCAGGGCAACATTCAATTTATTTTGTTATAGTTTTATTAAAAATTGAGTACCAAGTATGGAATTTGGCCAAAGGTTCGCAACTATGAGTGATGGAGCTAGGACTGGACCCAGGTCTCTCTGACTTCAAAGCCCATTATACCCACTAGGTTATATCATCCTCCCTCCTGAAAATGAACTAAGCAGATTTTAAATTGATCAAAGTAACTATGAATAGTCTAGTTATGGAGAATGAAAAATTGACTCTTTTCCCCTATTGACTATTCAGATGAGAATATATACCCAATAGTTTGCAATTAACAATATGAGCAGTTGGGGGGAAAGTATATAGGATATACAAAATCAATGATCAATATCCTCTTTTACTCCTTGCTTTTTTGTTCTATTTCTTAGAAAATTTTTTTCTTTTATTGATGTTAGAGAGAGAGAGGAAGTGAGAGAGAGAGAGAGAAACCCTGATGAGAGAGAACATTGATTGGCCGCCTCCTGCATGCCCCCGACGGGATCAGGCCCACAACCTCGGCATGTGCCCTGAATGGGAATTGAACGGGCAGCCTCTTGGTGCATGGGTTGACCAATCCTCAACCACTGAGCTACAGCAGCCGGGCCTCAGAAAATTTTTTTTGGTTTTAATTTTCTATTCTGTCTTTGAAGGGTTTTCCTTTAAATTTATGCCGCCGTATTTTCATTTTTCAAGATAATTTTGTTTGTTTGCTATTTGAATCTTTGAATGTTCCCTACCTTCTATTTCTCTAATGACCAAAAAAAAAATTTTTTTTTCTGCTTCCTACATGATCTTTTTCTTCAGAGTTCATTTTCTTTTTCTGTTTGGTTTGTTCTTACCTTTTACCTTAAGCTTTCCCTCAAATATAGGATGATCCTTGGCCAGATTTTTATATTTAACAATGAGGTACTAAAACCTGAGTGAAACTACATGTGGGCAAGTCTTATTAACTAGTAGGAAGCTGGACATTTTGTTGGGGTACCCACAAATATTAGTATCTGTGGGTCTTTTGGGCCAACTTTCTCAGAGAAACCCTCTTATCTCTTGGCTAGATATATATGTGACTGGGTACCGGAACTGAAGGGAGAAAGGTGTTTTTCTGGATTGGGGAAGGGAGCATTCTAGGAGGGTTGAACCAGAGAGGCCCAAATGTGAAAATGAGGCATATTGCTAAAAGTGGGGGGATTGAGTGAAATTCCGCCTGGGGGCAATGAGGAACCCCCCCCCCCCCGAATGCTCCCTCTCCTGTCCAGGCGCATGAGTGACCATCTGAGATGTGTGTGCTGCCCAGAATAGCTGGGATCTAAATTGACAGCTTTTAAAAGCATATAAAATGTATTATCTCTAATATAAATTTACAGATTTAGTGGTTCTCTTTGGAAAACAAAACTACCTAGGAAGATAATTCTGCGCAGTTCCTGCTTCTGGGCTATACATTTTCCTCCTTTGGTTTGATCTCTTTCAGAACAAATTGGAGCATTGGCAGATCAGCACATTGTCCATGTGGCATGTGGCGAGTCCCACAGCCTGGCCCTCAGTGACCGGGGCCAGCTGTTTTCTTGGGGTGCAGGGAGTGATGGTCAACTGGGACTCATGACTACTGAGGATTCAGTGACAGTGCCCAGGTAAGAATGTCACAGAAAGGAATCTGAGTTTTCAAATGTCAGTTGTTGTAAATATTATTTCCTGCTGTTGCTTTGTTAGACATCTTGGTTTGGTTTCTGTTTTCATTTAATTGCATCTCCTATGTGCCACTGCTATGCCTTATACTGTTTATAGTACTTGTCACAAAAATTGTAGTTATTTATACAAGTGTGTATCTCGTTAAAAAATGTGAGTAGTTTCAGGAATGTACTTTATTTATTCTAGTAGCCTAATTGCTAGCAGAGTGCTTGGAACTTGATATATTTTTTAATTTTAAAAAAGCATCTTCTGCCCTGGCCGGTTTGGCTCAGCGGTTAGAGCGTCGGCCTGCGGTCCTAAGAGACCCGGGTTCGGTTCCCGCTAAGGGCGTGTACCTCGGTTGCAGTTTGTCCCCGGCCCTGGTCGGTTGTGCGGGTGGCAGCCACTCGATGTGTTCCTTTCACATCGATGTTTCTCTCTCTCTCTCTCCCTTCCTCTCTCTCCCTCCCACTCTACCTGAGCAAAAAATGGAAAAATGTCCTCGGGTGAGGATAAAAAATAAATAAATAAATAAATAAAAATAAAAAAGCATCTTCTCACATGCTGGACTTAATAACCTTTAACTCAAAATTGCAAGCCTAAATCAATTACTCAATTAAGCCCTTTAAACTAGAGTCACAAGGCTGACCTGTTACTCTAATAGTAGACCAAATTACCATAAGCATTAAGAACAGCTAAAATACTAAATATGCATAAGCTGTTTCACACAAATACTAATACAGTGGTTTTGAGTCTCTTAAATAGTGACGTCTAAATCTTAGATGATTTAGCTAAATATCTAACAGATACTTCACCACTTAAAAATGTCCAAAATATTGAAGTTACTTTCAAGTGGACTTTTTGGGGGTGGCATGCCAATTTGTTGAGTTTCTTAATGATCAAAGAAGCCACCAGTTTATTTCCACTGTTCCTTTGTACTACAAATATACACATACCTCCACTGTAGTACTTGTTACATTCTTAGTAATTATTTATTTAATGACCATTTTTAGTCCAAAGCTGGAAGCTCTTGGTGGCAGAAGACCTGGAGTATTCACTTTAGCATCACCCTTACTTGTGCCCAGCACAAGTCTGTTTACTAAATGGCCTCTCCTCGGACCCTGCCAAAGTATTGTCCCCTTTAAAGGACGATATGTTCTTCTTCCTCTTTCTTTTTGCCCTTCTTAGATTTTTGTCTTTTTAATCAAAAGCTGTTTTAAGGAAAAGAGGACATGGAGGTAAGAGTGATTTGATTCACTTCCTGATTTAGAACAGGTAAAGTCTTGGATTCATTACTTCCAGTAATTAATTTAATTTTTGGGGAAGAGGGAGAAGTGATAATAAGAAAAAAGGGGGGGCTATATTTTAATGAAATTGGGGAAAAGATTTATAACATTAATGACAAAAGTATTTCATATATATACGTGCATATATGTATATGTGTGTGTATATATTATATATATACATATGTATATGTATGTATATGTATATGTGTGTATATATATATTTTTTAATCCTCACCCAAGGATATTTTTTTGTTTATCTTCAGATAGAGTGGGAGGGAGGGAGAGAGGGAGGGAGAGAGAGAGAGGGAGAACCATCCATGTGAGAGGGACACATTGACTGGTTGCCTCCCACATGACCCTGACCAGGGCTGGGGATGAACCGCAGCCTAGGTATGTGCCCTTGGCTGGATTCTAACCTGGGACTCCTTGGTCCTTGGGCCCATGCTCTAACCGCTGAGCCAAACTGACCAGTGCAAAAGTATTTCTTTTCTTTTTTTTTTGTGGTAAGTGCCCCTAGAGGGAACCAAACCCAGGACTCTCTGGTCCTCAGGCCAACGCTCCAACTGCTGAGCCAAACCGGCCAGGGCGAGTATTTCATTTTTTGATGCTAAAGAATCAAAGGCTTTTAGTGGCATTTCATTTTTAAAAATGAAGTAATCTGGGTTATAGTAGCAATTTAATTTTCATTAGCTGTGTCTAAATTATGGATGACTTTTGAGACTTTGGTTTGTGCATAATTTTATATTATAACTTAATTAAAATAAATTCATTAATCAATATCTTAGTATTGTGGAAAGTAATATAGCTTTGAAGTTGAATAGTCTCAGATACTAATACTCGCTGTATTACTTATTAGGGGCGTGACCTTGGCAAATAAACTTAGTCGAGCTTCAATTTCCTGACCTAAAAATTGATTTATATATTGTATACCTTTACAAAGTTATTGGTAGGACAGATGAGTAGATAAAACAGTATATGTTTGATATATATATCTCCTCTTCTCTCCAGCTCAAGGATATAATTCTCTATTTTTTATTTATTTTTTGTAATTCAAAGATATTTTTTCCATTTATTTTTTTTAGAAAGAATAGAAGGGAGGGAGGGAAGGAGAGATAGGTAGAGAGAGAGAGAAACAGAGAAACATTAATGTGAGAGAAACATTGCTTTGTTGCTCCCTGAACTCTGCCCAGCTGGGGACAGGGATGGAACCTACAGCCCAGGTCCGTACCCTTGACCAGGAATCAAACCTGAGACTCTTCGGTTTGTGGGCAGACACTCTTACTACTGAGTCACACTGGCCAGGGCTCCCTATTATTTATTTCTGTCTTTCTGACCTGCTTTCCTTATATAACTGATTGTGAAGGTTGTGACAAGGGTAATGGTGATCCATAAAGGAAGAACTGTGGGGAATTTGAGTGGAAACTGGTCAGGAAAAATGGCTGTTGCTGCATAAAATTTCTGAAATATAGGCAGTAATACATTTTCTAATTTAAAAATACCGTGGGGTTATAACAACTATTGATAACATGCAACAACTTAGATGAATGTCCAGGGAATTATTCTAAGTGGAAGAAAAACCAATCCTATAAAGTTACCTACTGTATAGTTCCATTTATATAATATTCTTGAAATGACAAAATTTTAGAAATGGGGCATAGATTAGTGGTTGCCAGGACCTAGGAATGGGGGAGGGAAGGAGTAGTTGTAAAAGTACAACACCAGGAATCTTTGTGGTGTTGGGACTGTTCAGTGTCTTGACTGTGGTGGTGGATACATGAACGTATACAGGCGATAAAATTAATACACACTGAAAAATAAGTTCAGGTAAAATTGGGGAAATATGAGTAAGATTGGTATATTGTATTAATGTCAGTGTCCTGGTTACAATATACTACAGTTTTGCAAAATGTCACCATTGGGAAAACTAGACAAGTATATAAGGGATCTCTCTATTATTACTTACAACTGAATGTGAATCTATAGTTATCTCAATAAAATATAGTTGGGTGCTATTTGGTAATAAATGCATATGTGAACTCTATTTTAACTTTTTAAAAAAACATGTTTCTATTGATTTTTTAGAAAGAGAGGAAGGGAGAGAGAGAAACATTGATCAGCTGCCTCCTGCATGCCCCTTACTGGGGATTGAGCCTGAAACCCTGTGACCAGGAATCGAATCAGGACCTCTTCTTAGTCCATGGGGCGAGGCTCAGTCCACTGAGCCATACCAGCTAGGCTTCACTTTTTTATGTCTGAGAAAATAAAACATTAACAAAAGCAACAGCTACCAAACTAATCCCTGACCCTTTCTTTTTCCTAAAATACCCCACTCCTAAGGGCATGTCCATCTGACTCCTTTGTTTCTGTGGCATACACTTAATGGAGAGGAATATGGCAATGTGTGAACTATTAAAAAAGAGAGCAGGAGATATTCCCAGGCTGTCCAACACTGCTGGGCAGTGCAAGGACCTTACATGGATTTTTTTCATTAATTCTCACCACACCCTTGTGCAATAGGTACTGTTCTTATCTGTCTTTCACATGAGCAAGCAGAAGAATGCAATTTAAAAAGTAATCATATGAAATCAGGATTTTGGAGGCATTATCTTTATTATTATCATTTTTACTTGTGGTAAAATACACATAACGTAAAAGTTACCATCTTAACCATTTTTAAGTGTTAAGTATATTCACATTAAACAATGTGACCAAGCTCCAGAACTTTATCTTGCAAAAAGTAAATTCTATACCCATTAAACAACAAATTCCCATTTCTCCTCCCCTGAGTCCCTGGAAACCACCATTTTACTTTGTTTCTGTGAATTTGACTATACTAGATACCTTATAAGTGGAATCATATTATATAGTATTTCTTTTTATGATTGGCTTATTCCACTTAGCATAATGTCCTCAAGTTTCATCTATGTCATAGCATGTGTCAGAATTTTCTTTCTCTTTAAGGCTGATTAATATTCCATCTATATGCCATATTTTGTTTATTCATTCATCTGATGATGGACACTTGAGTTGCTTCTACCTTTTGACCATTGTGAATAATGCTACTATGAACGCGGGTGTACAAATATCTCTTTCGGGGACGCTGCTTTCAGTTCTTTTGGATATGTACTCAGAAGTGGAATTGCTGGATCTTGGCATTGCCCTCATTTTGAAAGCCATTTAGGCCAGCCATATTCTATGGGAACTCGCTTCTGTAGCTTTACTCCACTTGTACCTGAATTGGAGATGACAGGTGGGAATTAACAGAGGGTAATGGTAATGGGGTTAAGTGCAGAAGTTTAGTGTTTTTTTTTTCAGTAGTACCTAACAGATAGGAGGTTAGTGAAAGACCTAATAGGATTATATCATGTAACATTATATGTCTGATTTTTAAAAGTCTTTTAGGAAAGATGATGTTATTTATTATAACTGTTTTATTCCTTTGGGAATATTGTTTGTGAATGTTCTTCTTAAGAATAGTCTTTTCTGTTTTAGGTTAATACAAAAGCTGAACCAGCAGACAATATTACAAGTTTCCTGTGGCAACTGGCATTGCTTGGCTCTTGCAGCTGGTAATGTAACATTGAAATATATGCTAATATTATGTTAATTTTACAGCTAATTCTTTTTGCATTTTTGTGTAATGTTATCTACTGGAAACCTTTAATTAACTGGCTAGGGTCTATGCATTCCTGCTGGACAGTGGCAGTTCTCAGGTACCCTTACTTTTTTCAGGGTGTGAATGATGAAGACGGTGGTCATCACAGCTGCTCCAGTTCTCTTGCAGGGAAGATGAACAGCAGGCAGGACTGTACCCAAGTGTCCTTGAGCATACAGAAGATTGGTTTTTCTTAGCTACAGCTCACTGTCTATCTCCATTCCACCAGCAGGCACCCCAGTAAATGAAAAAGGAGTTAGAGAAACCTAAGCCAGCAAATAATACTGATTTCTATGTTAGAATAAATCTGAAGGAAATCTACACTAACATGACCTGTTCCATACTCTGTGGTATAACCAGTTCATAGCTGGACCTCTTGAAGTTCTGGGTCTCTTGGTTTTGGGGAGGTCAGAAATAGTTCAGCTTGCTTAGTGGATCTGAGCCTGGTAATTAGCTATTTAAAACGGAATCAACTTAAACAGTTGATTTCTTATTTGCATAAATGTTAACAGCTTTTGAAGAGTGGCAAGACTCTTGAAAGTCAGATTTGGTTATCTATTTTGAAGATGGGGCCAACTGGTTTATCTCTCTTTTGTTATGACAAGTGGGAGTGTTGGTTATGACACTCTTACAGTATGAAGTGTCTCTGCTCTCTTGCTCGTTGGCAGGTTTGGTATATGTGTGGAGTCAAATAACAAATGACCCTACTGGGCAACTGTATTGTTCTAACAAGATTGTTTTTTTTTTTTTTGGATGTAACTTGTATCATTTCTGGTAATACCAGTTATCCTGTTCTTATTTCAGATGGTCAGTTCTTCACCTGGGGAAAGAACAGTCATGGGCAGCTGGGCCTGGGGAAGGAGTTTCCCTCCCAAGCCAGCCCGCAGAGGGTGAGGTCCCTGGAGGGGATCCCACTGGCTCAGGTGGCTGCAGGAGGGGCCCACAGCTTTGCCCTGTCTCTCTCAGGAGCCGTTTTTGGCTGGGGGATGAATAATGCAGGGCAGCTAGGCCTCAGTGATGAAGAAGGTAGGTAAAGTCTTCATATGCACCTCTTTGATTCAAAAACACATTCATTTATTTAACACATGCTTCTTGAGGATCTACTGTGTGCTGGACCCATGTTAGGTACTAAGGGTGCAGCAGTGAACAAAACAGATGCAGTTTGGCTTAGTGAAGATTGCATGGAGTGGCTGGGCACAAACAAGTAAAATATAGCATGTCAGAGGGTTTGAGAGGCAAGTTTCCTGTTTTACATATGGCGGTCAGGGAGGGCATCTCTGATAAGGGGATGTTTGAGCAGAGCCCTGTAGCAAGTCAGGTAAGAAATGAACATGCATATCTGGGCAAAGAATGTTCCAGTTAAAGGGAACTGGATGAGCAAAGGCTGTGATGCGGGGAAATACAGGGTGTGCTTAAGAGTGTAGTGAGCGGAGGGAATAGTGGCAGAGCTGGAGGTCAGACGGGCAGTGTAGGTCAATCATGTAGGGCCCAGTAGGGCAGGGTCAGGATTTTGGCTTCTTCTCTCATTGAGGGTTTTGAGGAGAGGAGTGATTTCTCTTGACTCTGGCTATAGTGGGTCCAGGGAGAAGCTGGAAGACCAGTTTGGAGGTAGCGGGAATAAAGTCAGATTTGCTATTTATTTTGAAGATGGGGCCAATTGATTTTGTTCACTGTTGAATGTATAGTTTAAATAAAGACTGGAAGGATAAAGTTACCATTTATGAAAAGAGGAAAACTGTGTGTGGCAGGGAACGGGTGAGAGGTGGGCAGGCAGAGTTGGGGAGTGTGCGGGAACCATGAGTTGGGTTTTAGATAGATTAAAAATGAGATGTCTGTTGGACATCCAAATGGAGATGCAGGCAGGAAGATGAATAGGTGAGTTAGCCATCAAGGGGGACCCAAAATTCATGCTAAGATAGGTATGTATATGTCATCTCAAGGGCAAATGGTAGTGACATTCTGATATTTATCTTATTCTAGATCGAGAGTCTCCTTGCCATGTGAAACTCTTACGAATGCAGAAGGTTGTCTATATTAGTTGTGGAGAAGAGCACACAGCAGTCCTCACAAAAGTAAGGGACTCCGGGATATTCTGGTTTGTTCTGTGATGCTTTGGTGCTGAATATGACATGGATGAGTATCACTGATTAATTATTTTTTATAGTGTTTTTTAGAGAGAGTAGTGATGGTGTTTAAAATTAGTTCAATGTAAATAACCTTAAAATACAGTATATGTAGCAGCATTTCATGTTCCTTTAAAATAAGCCATTTAAATACAGATTGGGGCAAAAGTAGGTTTCTAGTTGTGAGTACCCAACACATAGAGTTTATTCTTGTATTATTATTTATTAATTATTATATTATTTGCCATGCAAACAACTGTAAACCTACTCTTGCCCCACTCTGTATATGGGAAAGAGCAATGTAATTAATATTATAAAATTATTAACCTACTTCTTTTGCTTCTAAAACAGTCACATCTCAAGAGAGTGAAAATTATATTTATGTTGAACAAATTCACTTTAATAAAATACCTTAGCATTTTTTTCAAGTATAGCTGTTAAAAATATATCTTCTTTACCACGAAGTTTATAGAGCATTTCATTTTTTATATATGAATGATCATGCATTTATCCTATCTCACATATTTCTTTTTGTTTGTTTTGCTTGCTAACACATCATTATACTTTTAAACAAATTTCAAAATTTATAGTTAGCACACGTTCCCTTGAGCAGTGCTGTCTTTATTCCATAAAGATTTAACTTAAGTTCCTTTTCTATTGTTTTTTTATTTTATTTAATAAATGTTCCAAAGAAGTGATCTTGGCCAAATATCAAGTGAGCTCAGTGTTTTTGTGCAGATCGTTGTGATATGAATTTTGCATGCAGAAGGTTTTAGAGGAGTGCACGCAGACTCAGTGATGCAGTGCAGTCACGTGACGCTTGTTCCTTGTTAGAGTGGAGGTGTGTTTACCTTTGGTGCTGGTTCCTGCGGGCAACTTGGACATGATTCCATGAACGATGAAGTTAATCCAAGAAGAGTTCTAGAGCTGATGGGCAGTGAAGTAACTCAGATTGCTTGTGGCAGGTGAGTGCTTGCTCCTAAGAGCTTCCTAGTATTTATTAAGACCCAGAAATGGATCTTGTCTCATAGTGATGGAGAATGTGGTTAGACCTTACCACCATTAAGAAATCTTAGCTGTATGCACATCCAAGGTGAAAGTTTGGAGAGAGTTGGATCTGAGCAGAGTGTGGCATGGAAGGGCTTTTAGATAAGTGGAGCAACATGGGGACAGTCAGCTACTTTGGGGATAAAGAGTAGCAGGATGTGGGGAGAACACGAAGAAAGGAAAATGAGAAGGCCTCAGAGAACTTCTAGGAAATTTTGCCTGGTCCACCCTGCTTCTTCCCTCTCATCCTAAAGGCCAAATGCAGCAGGCCATCCAGCTCTATACAAGTCTTGCCGTCCTCCCCATAACCGAGAGCATCAGAGAAGGATAGTAATGTGGAGAGCCAGCCACTGCAAAAATAGTCACATAGAAACATGGGGGAGGCTTTCTAGGGGCACACCTGGGAATTACTGTGCTCACATGTGGACACTAACAGCCGGAGTCTGAGTGTGTATCTGTATTCAGTAACTATTTTTAATTTAATTGTATTTCCAGACAACACACCCTCGCCTTCGTGCCTTCTTCTGGCCTCATCTATGCATTTGGTTGTGGAGCAAGAGGTCAATTAGGCACTGGACACACTTGTAACGTCAAGTGCCCATCTCCTGTGAAAGGCTACTGGGCTGCCCACAGTGGCCAGCTTTCAGCCAGAGCTGGTAAGAGTGATTTGCATTAGAATTTAATGATATTTTCAATGATAAAAACAATTGTTTAGAGAACATGTTTCTGTTTTTTCCTTGAGGTCTTTTAAGGAAATGAATATGAGGGATTTTCCTTTATTATCCATCAAAAACATTTGAGTACTAATTATGCACAAGGCTCTACATTTGAGATCCTAAAGAATAAAGCAGAAAATGTTCTTTTGGCCCCCAAAACCTTGGTGGTATTGTAAAAAATTTAATTATTATTGTTGCTAATAATGAAAGTTCATATTTATTGAATGCTTAACCAAGTTCTGTTAGTATGCTAAAGCGCTCAGAATAACTTTAATAACTAGTGGTGGTTATCCTCATGCTGGAGACGAGGAGATTGAGTTTATTTTATTTTTTATCCTCACTCGAGGATATTTTTCCATTTTTTGTACAGATAGAGTGGGAGGGAGAGAGAGGAAGGGAGAGAGAGAGAGAAACATCAACGTGAAGGGACACATCGAGTGGCTGCCACCCACACGACCAACCAGGGCCAGGGACAAACTGCAACTGAAGTACGTGCCCTTAGTGGGAACCGAACCCGGGTCTCTCCGGACCGCAGGCCGACGCTCTAACCGCTGAGCCAAACTGGCCAGGGCAGAGTTTAAAGGAAGTTAATAACTTGCCCAATATCACAGAGATTCTGGGGCAGGATTTAAACCCAGGTCTGCCTTATTCTAAAACCTGTGCTCTTAGTGCTTGTACTGTATTACTTCCCTTTGCTATACTATTTTGGTGATAACCTGACAAACTTCTTTTTTTAAATTCTCACCCGAGAATATTTTTCTGTTTTTTTCAGATAGAGTGGGAGGGAGAGGGAGGAAGAGAGAGAGAGAGAGAGAGAGAGGGAAAGAGAGAGAGAAACATTGACATGAGAGGGACACATCTGCTGGTTGCCTCTCACACAACCCCAGTCAGGGCCGGGGACAAACTGCAACCAAGGTACGTGCCCTTGACCGGAATTGAACCTGTGACTCATTGATCCAAGGGCCGATCTCTAACTGCTAAGCCAAACTGGCCACGGCTACATAATTTCTTTTCATGCCATTTTTTTTTCTTTCCTTAAAAATTAGTTAAAGAGCACAGTGTCCATTTCATTGGAAATCAAAATAAGGCAGTCACTCAGTATAAATAAATCCAGAGGCTAAAATGGAGCTGGAGAGTTATTAAAAGAAACATAAGTTAATTAATTTTGAAGACTATAAAGCGACACACTTACTGGATTATAAGAAACTTAAGGACGGGGACTGAGTCTTTTCCTCTTTGTAAACCTGGCCTGTAGCACGGGGCCTGGCACAATCTTCTCACTCAGGAAATATTTATGGAATGAGTCCTCTCTGTCATTATGCTAGGAATTCATGTGCTTAAGAAATATACCAACTTTAAACACTGAAGTGTTTTATATGTAAATTTGAAACCCACATTTTTGAAGTTTAATTACAACCTAACTTGTGTGATCATAAATTTGTGCTATGATGTTTGCCAAAATGACTGTATAACATAAGGAGGTAAATTTCAACTTATGATGGTAAACTCTGTGGTTTTAGGAACCTTCATGGTAATGTGGGAGCACAGAGGAAGACATCAAGGAGTATTCCAGTTAGAGGGAATCTGAGCTGTGTCTTAAAGGATGATTTGGAGTTAGCCAGGTAGAGGACTGTGAGGGGGTGGGTGGTGAGTACCAGAATGGCACACTTCCAGGAGCACTGCTCCGATTACACTCCAGGAGGCACCGTTCATGGAAGCAGAACGTGCGCTGGCGGTAGTGGTAGGAAAAGGCACTGAGATATGAAATAAGCTGGTACTATATTAGAAATAAAAGCAGCATGGTGGTATTAAGAGTATCACCACAGGCACAGTGTGATGGGAAATAAAGCAGGAACTAGGACATGCAGGTCCTGACATGGCAAGCTTCATCCTGAAGGGGCTAAGGATCACCACATTCAGATGACGAATGATTTGTTAGGCATATGTCACTGTGTATAGTACTGACTGTTTTAAATTGCAGATCAGTGGCATGACACAGGTAGAATGAAAAGCAGAAACGAGGTCAGCATTAGCTGGTGTTTGAGGAGGAGACGGAGGGTTAGAGAGCAGGCCACTATTTGATGTATTGGACAGGCCTGGGCAGAGAGCCAGGAGACAAGGTATTTCTACTTCTCTGACATAATTAAAATGGATAGGAAACCATTGTGAAGGATATTGTAGACTATTAGAAAATGGATCAAGGGAAAATTTTAATTATTGAAAAATATGCTGTTGAAAATTTTTTTGACAGATCGCTTTAAATATCATATTGTTAAGCAGATCTTCTCTGGAGGAGACCAAACTTTTGTACTTTGCTCCAAATATGAGGTAAATTTTTCTTTTGACTATTATTTTGGGGTTTGAATGATGGTGAACCAATATTTATTTTAATAAATAACTATATAGAAAAATAAATAAATAATTACACAAGAGCAATGTTACTCTTTGTTTCTACCAATTTATCATATTAAAATAAGCCAACTAAACCTTCAAGAAGTTAGCTTCATTTTGCTTTCTTAAAGTGCCAATATTTTTTTTTTTTTTTTTTTTTGGTATTTTAATCATAGAGTCCTAAATTATAATTTAAAATGATTTATATCCATAGGAGTTCCAAAAGAGATTTAAGGAGACCTTAAAGTTCATACTTACTTTGGCATTATTTGACTTCCCATTTCTTTGCTTCCCTTTGAAGTAGTGAAAATACTAGGTTTTTGAGAACTCTGTGGGGTGTTTTTGGACATGATTGAATATATACTAAATATAGAAGAGATACCCCTATTCAGCTATCCTTTATAATCTGCTCATTGCACCACACTTAAATTTCCCCGCTATTGGCTCCCGCATCATTTTAGTGGGTAAGTCAGGAAGAAGGAGATTCCAGTATCTTTCTTGGCTGAAAGTAGGAGACTGTGTCCCAGGTATCTGTAATAGTGCTTTAATTCACTGCCCTCTTCCTGGATGAGGAAAACCAGTCTGCAGCGAGCACCACAGAATTGTTTTGTGCCCTCTACCCTCTCTTCTACGCTTGTGCTTTCTCTCCTCTCCTCTCTCTTGCCCACCCTGCTCTTATTCAACAAGCATTTGGGGAGGTCCAGACATATGTGGTGCATTGATCCTCATCCTGTCCTGGAGGAGCAGGGAAGGGGCCTTGGTGATGATAAAGGGTTTTGATTTGGAAATTTTCCCTGTCAGTCTGATATTTGGCCATCTTTAAATACAAAATGTTCTTACCTTCTAATCAGTATAATTCTGTGGTTTTGGTGGAAAAGGTTGGACAGCTAAAACTGACTGGTAAATATTTTCCAGGTCAGCAGCCTCGAGAAGGTTCTGTTTAGTCCTACCATCTGCGGTGATTGGGAACTCTGGCTTGAGAACTATTTTAGGCCCAGCTTCAGTGCTTCACAGAGAAATCTTTTTTTTTTATCCTCACCTGAGGACATTTTTTTCCATTTTTTGTTCAGATAGAGTGGGAGGGAGAGAGAGGAAGAGAGAGAGAGAGAGAAACATCGACATGAAAGGGACACATTGAGTGGCTGCCACCCACACGACCCAACCAGGGCCGGGGACAAACTGCAACTGAGGTACGCGCCCTTAGCAGGAACCGAACCCAGGTTTCTGTGGACTGCAGGCTGACGCTCCAACCACTGAGCCAAACTGGCCAGGGCTCACAGAGAAATCTTAAGGAAAGCTGAGATGATTCTGTGTTACTTCAAGATGTAAATAAAGTGAAGTTTGGAAAGCCCCAAATCTCTGCAAGTTAAAAACCTTTTATTAATAGTTTATAACTAGAGTGAATAACTCTAGTAGTAGAGTTTGAAGTATTTATATTCCTAAGAAACTGACTTGAATAATATTATCCAAAACATCCAAAAATATTTTTCCTGTGCAGTTCAACATAAAACTGTTTCCTTCCTTTTATAAATATGTTATTTGATGTACAGGGTGGAGCAAAAGTTTACAGTTCATACAGAAAATAATACAATAATTAATTATTACAATTAATAAATAATAATTCAAGAATAAACTCTGTTTTAGGTACTCACAACTGTAAACCCACTTTTGCCCCACCCTGTATGTATGTAGTTGTTTTTTTGTTTTTTTTTTAAATTCTTAGTGTATTAATCCTCTCGTGAAAAATCTGCACAATCCCCACAGATAAGCCACTGAAGAATCTTTGCTCCTTTTTGCCAGCACCAGCATTGGCCTTTGCAGTCCCCCTGCCTGTCTTCATTCTGTTCTTTAGTTCCTCTCTGTTTTCTTGAGGTTTTTTCCCACAGCCCATGTCTTGTGAGTCTCTATTTGGGTTCATTTTTCTTTGCATGATCCAAGGAATAATCATAAATCGTGCCAAAGCCAGTTGTCTTGCCACCACCAAAAATGGGTGACGAATCCATAAACAAAGGTAACACCTGCTGTGGTCTTGGGCAGTTTGGCTACTTGTTCTTGAATTTCTTGTCTCAGGTACTGTTGCCTTCCCAGGGTGAAGGACTTCGATGACCATTTGTTTCTGCTGAAGAAGTCTGTTGGTCATGAACTTCCTGGTCTCTACTGGGTTGTTCATGATGGCAGCTGGTCCTCAAGCAACAGGGAGGAAAAAAAGCTGTAGCTGAATATTAAACTTACTGTAATAAACACTGTTGTGACTGGCAAAGAAAACATTGGTAGAAGGAAGGGAAATAGGCTAGAGTTAAGGGAACAAGGCAGGTTAAAGTTTAAATACCTGTTAAGAGTGGTATGCATTAAAAATGTAAGATAACAAAGAAAATAAAAATAAAATATCACTTAGGAAGGTGTTGCTCTTTTTTAAAAAAAAAACCAAAAAACAGAAGCCTATACACTTTTACTTAAGCTATTAACTATAGATTTTTGTTTAGATACAGAGACTGATCAAATCATGTTTACCCTGTTACCGTATCGCATGAAGAATCACTTAAAGGACCAAGAAAAGGCATCTGTGTAGTAACAGGCTCCATTTTTGTAAAAGGCTGACTCATTCATTAATGCCAGGCCTGAGGAGGAAGAAGGGAGGGGAGGAGTTATGTTCAGGTACTCCTTTGCTACATGTGATTCTAGGTCTTGGCAATTTAGTGAGTATAAACCATAGGCACTCTTTTTCCTTTCATCTTGTTCCCTGAATAGGACTGAAGAAGGAATGTGGTTAGGAGTGTGCGTGTGTGTGAGAGAGTGTGTGTGTGTGTGTGTGTGTCTGTCTGTCTGTCTCAAAGCTTGCTAAATGATGTAATCCTCTTTTTCCTAGAACAGTTGTTCTCAACCTTGGTTGCCCATTAAAATCACCTGGGAGCCTTAAAAAAGTATTGATACCTCTAGGGATTCTGATCGAGTTGGTCTAGACTCTAGAATGTGACGTGGCTGCCAGGATTTGTGAGTATTCCGGTGATCCAAGGTGTAGCCAAAGTTGAGAAACACTGTCCTAGACCAGTTCTTCTTTTTGGATTGTATGTAATTAGAAGACAGTGATTGGAAGAAAATTGATGCTTCTTCTTAGGTTTTTAGGTAATTCTGAAATTGTACTTCATTTAAGGTATCTGTGGTTTATTGGGTGGACATACAGAAAATAATTCCATGTCTATATTTTATTATAAGTATGTGTTGGAGTCTGTGTTCAGCTGCACTCTCGAATGAGGAAGTAATTAAAATTTACATAATACTAATGGTTTTAACACCATTTTTGTGTGTGCCAAAATGTCTGCTTTTTCTTATTATTTTTCTCTGTGCAACTCAAGATGACTTTTGCTCTTTCAGTAGATGTCTGTGGCCATTTTAGTAAAATAATTGTCAAGAACCAGATGATCAAAAACTTTGGCAAGCATCTCTGATTCGTTACATGCTTTTCTCCTTTTCCCTTATAATGATATCTTAACTCATAACTATGGGAAAAACCAAAAAAATTTACTTTGAAAGTTATGTTTTTATGTGACAAAGGAGAAAAAATAATTTTATGAATTGATGGATGAATACTTTAATATTTTTTTGTTGGTTTTTGCGGACAAGTATAGGAAGCATAAAGCTTTTTCAACTTTTTCATCCTTCTGGATCAAGAACAGGATTTGGGGAAATCAGTTGAAAAATGGACATTTTAGAAAATAAAAGTGTTTATATTTTTAAAATCCCACTGAATAAAGGATGTACAATGCTGGGCAGCATTTGTAATATTTAAGTCCATTATTGACATGTCCTCTTGTCACCTTTCTGATAAATGTATAGCCATATACTTGGGGCAAGAAATTAAGAGGCATCACGTTTTTATAGATTATTTGCAGTATAGATTAAAACAACATTTTTATAATATATTTTGTTGGAGTTCAGTGAATAGTTATGGCACATGATTAATACCTTAAAAACCTTGATATAGTGATTCAAAGCCAAGGAGTAAGAAGTCTGGAAAAGTTGTCTTGGATTGGTTTCTCTGGGAAACAAACTCTGAGACTAAGATTTATGTTCAGAAAGTTTTTTGGGGGAGTGCACTATAGAACAACATCTACTTGGGGATAAAGGAGCCAGGATTGGGCAGAGGGGGGAGTTGAACTGCCAGTCAGTGTAACTGAGTCCTCAGCCAATTCTTGGAAAGCTCTGAGGTTGGGATGGCCCTTCGGCCAATCCTGAAGCAAAGGGTCTGGGCCTTTGTACCACGTCTCTGACTTCCACTGGATGTGAAACAAGTGGAGCAGTTTCTGGAGAGCATCTCAGCTGGGAGCTGTCAGGAGCTTACACTCTCAGCAGCTAGGGGAGTGAGTGCCCCCATTCTGAAGTGGGGTGGGCACATGGGTGATGCACCCCAGCTCCTGTAGTAGGTAAAACAAAATGGAGACTATGTCGGAAGAAGGAAAGGAGAAAAGAGCCATTCTACATAATTTTTCATCTTTACTGTTATATTTAATCCTCCAGAATTCCTCTCCTGCTGTTGACTTCAGGACTGTGAACCAAGCACATTATACCAGTTTAATAAATGATGAAACCATAGCAGTTTGGAGACAAAAACTCTCAGAACACAACAATGCAAATACAATCAAGTATGTGACTGCTTTTCATTTTCTTGTTTGCTAAGTAAAGAGGAATCTTCTAGCTTAGTGATTTTTTCTACTTCCGATTGAGGTTGTGAATGTAAGTGGTGTTTTACATTTTAGGGAATCATTTTTCTGTATATATTTATTCAGGATTTGGTGCGCTTACCCCAAATAACATAATAGATTGTTCCCCCATTCTTTCAGGGACTGTATTCCTCAACCTGCCTTGTTCAGATCTTAAAAATCTTGATGAAGGTCTGAGTTGACCTTTCTGCTAAGAAAACATTGTTATTGTTGATTGGCCTCAAGGGTTTCTTCATATGCATGTTCCAAAGCATCCTACATCTAAGACAACTCTTTTTGTTTTTTAAATCCTCACCCGAGAATATTTTTGCATTTATCTTCAGATAGAGCAAGAGGGAGAGGGGAGGAAGAGAGAGAGAAACATTGATGTGAGAGAGACACATCAACTGGCTGCCACCACACGACCCCGACCAGGGCCCGGGACAAACTGCAACCAAGGCACGTGCCCTTAGCAGGAACTGAACCCGGGACTCGCTGGTCCGCAGGCTGACGCTCTAACTGCTGAGCCAAACTGGCCAGGGCTAAGACAACTCTTATCTTACTTAATCTGAATTATTTCTAGTATTCAAAATGATTAGTTGAGATGGTAATTCAGTGTCAAGTTGGGAAAAATATAGTTGAGAGTATTGAGGCCTTTTATCAAGTTTTATTTTATTCTTAAAGGAGATATTTTTACTGCACATTTTTACACATTTTTCATTGTTTTTTTTTCCTCAGCATTTCCATTTTTCTGCAGTCTTATTCTTGGGAATAAATGAATCACACTCTGTGTACTAAGCAGTGGTAATTTCCAGAAATGTGTAGAATACATCTGCTTTATGATGTGGCTTGTAGTGGGGCAGATGACCAGAGTTTGAACTTTGGGGCACACTGGGCAATCATTGAGAATGCACTAGAGGAACTCTTGGCTGTCTTCAGAATAAATGTCTCTACTGAGGAGTTTAGGCTGGAAGGTGGCAGGGGATAAGGGACTAGGCTCACTGTTGAAGGGGTGGGGCAGAGAGACTATAGACTCACTCTGCTGGAGCCATGACACTTTGCTAGCTCTCAGTTTTCTTAGTTAGAAAATGAAAGGATGGAAGAAATGATCTCTAAAGATCTTTTCTAACCCAGATTCTATGATTAACAGAAGTGAGTGAATCAGTCATAGCATATTTGTTTCATTCCCTCCCTTTCCTTATATTGAGTGAGAGGGGTCCTCGGTCCTGGCATGTAACTTCACTCTCGATCCTCGGAAACTAGCTCTTTTCCCAGAAACTGAATAGTCTAGGTAATAGGAATAAATACTCATTTCACTTATTTTCAGTTTCTTTCTCCGATGGGCAACAAAATAGAAAGAAGTGGTTGTTCAGTTATTAATTTGCAAAGATAATTTCTGTATTTGGGAGATAACAGCTCATCTGTTTTGGTTTTATTTTGTGTTCGTGTTTGGAGGTGAGATGGGAATGTCTTAGATGGTTGGTGGTAGAAGAATGTTCAAGATCATTACCAGGTGCAAGAGTTTTTTGTGTTTTTTTTTGTTTTGTTTGTTTTTGGTAGTTTTGATGCTCTCTTTTAATTTTAACATGACTTATGGAAAATTTAAGCTCTTGTCCATTTTGAGATGTGACATGATACTTTTTTGTTTGTTTGTTTGATCTTCACCCGAGGACATTTTTTGCATTTATCCTCAGGTAGAGCGGGAGGGAGAGAGGGAGGAAGAGAGAGAGAGAAACATCGACGTGAGAGAGACACACTGAGTGGTCGCCACCCGCACGACCCCAACCTGGCCGGGGCCAAACCACAACTGAGGTATGTGCCCTTATGGAACCAAACCTGGGACTCTCTGGTCCGTGGGTCAATCAACGCTCTAACTGCTGAGCCAAACCAGCCAGGGCCGATTTTTTTTTTTTTTTTAAAGCAACCGTTTGTACATTTTCCAAGGCTTCACCTGGATAAGAAAGAATTGCTATTAATGAACCCCAAGAATAGATGTCTAATATTAAATAACTATCTGTATTTGTAATTATTAAAGGCTTCCCTCTGCTTTTCTTTCTGAACAGTGGTGTCATTCAGATATTATCTTCTGCAGCCTGTTGGAATGGAAGTTTTCTCGAAAAAAAGTAAGTGACTTAGAGTCTTAAAAAATACCCACATGTGATGCAGATGCTTACTCAGCAAAGGCCATGAAAGATTTCTGTTCTCTTTGATGGTGGTTGGCCTAATCCAGTGGATAAGCTAATGATTTGTGCAGAAACTGGGATGCCTAGTAATGATGACTGAGAGGACATAGGAAAGCAATGCCGATTCATGCCCAGTTGGCAGAGAAGCAGATTACCAAAGAGAGAGGCTGTATCTCAGAAAGAGTTGGTGTAATGTAAGATTTTTCAGGGTGTTCTAAAATGTTACTATTCTTACCATATATAGTATTTATTCTTGAATTCTTAATTCTTTAATCTCCTTGGTTTCTTTGGTTTGCTATCCCATAGGATTTTTTTTTTTTTCCCTTCAATAAGAGTGAGTTTAGGGGAAAGGTCCAAGGTCCAAGCAGACTTCAAGGCTTCCTGGACTCAGGTCCAGCCCAGCTCACCAGGATTACATTTGGGCTGAACTCACAGGTAGTAAATAGAGTGTTTTTTGGCTTGGCCTTGTCTCTTCTTCAGATAACCCCCTCATGAACCTGATGCAGCAGAATGGTCTTGTCATGGCCTTTGATTTTTGGTGATCCCAAGTCCTGACCATCTCTCAGTACTATTTTGCCAGTAAGAATTCCAAGAAGACTTAGACATCATTTCTGTGTATGAATCCCGCTCCCCCATTCCACCCAAATTATGTCCCTAACTTGGTTGCAAGAGGTCACTCAGAAACTCTCTTCAGTGAGTTAGAGATTGCTAAGTCGTTTACTTGTACCATTAGGGCAGCTGGAATGAGCTCATCCCATTCATTTCAGAGTCAATAGTTAGCCTTTTCCTCCAGGGAAAAGTATTCTGGACTGTGCTGATTTTGGTCTTTCAGAACAGATTCTCAACCAGGCTGATTATGTTTTCCCGGGGATATTTTTCAATGTCTAGTGGTATTTTTGGTTACAGTAGGCGAACATATACTACTGGCACCTAGTAGTCAAAGGCCAGAGAGGCTGCTAAGCAGTTCACAATTCCTCCCACTCAACAAAGAAGTGTCCAAACTCAAAAGTCAATAGTATCAAGTCTGAGAAACTTTGTTCTGGAGGGACAGCTCTTATGAAGGTTGGAAAGGGCTCTTGGCCAAATTTGTTAGGTTAACCAAACTTAGCATCATGGATTCTGTAGGGTTCTGGGTGAAGCTTTTTTTTCTGTAGGGTTCTGGTTGAACTGACCATGGTGCTATTTTAGGAGTCCTGCTCCTCCAATTTATACATAGTACATCATAGGAAACCAATTAAAATGAAGACCAGTTTTACAAAGCATAAATACATATAAATAAAATATTTTCTTCTGTTTTTTGTATTTTGTCTTTTCTAAATTAGTAAAATTATATCTAAGCATATGGAAGGTTACATATGGAACACCAGAATGAACTTTTATGGTTTGGGCAGATTTATTTCTAGAGCAACAAAAGATCCAACAAAGCTCAGACATCTCTTGGTTAGACAATTTAGGTTCCAGTACATGTAGCTATAATTTTTTTTAAAATGTGAGAAACTCTACTAATGTTTTTATAAATTAAAACATTGCTGTCAGAAGGTGTTTAAAACTCGGAATTGTGTCCATTACTCATAAACAGAAGGTTGTTTTGCAAATAGCTAGTTCTTTTGTAATTAATAGATATTGTATGTTCAAGAGTGGACATTTAAAAGGCCTAAGACTTTATTTAAGGTTGGAAAAATGATTAGTTGCCAGGAAGTGAAATTAGTCCCTGGGTGAATGTAATTGTATTGCTTGTATTAACTAAAAGACATTAACTTTGTATTTGTTGTAGATCTGATTTTTTAGAAAAACACTTTGTAAAGAAAGGCTTTAAACAAGGAGATTCTACTTGCCACTAGTTGATAAGTGGGCCAGTTTGCACAAGGAGTTTTTTTTTTTTTTGCATCTGGGCACAGCATCTACCGCCTGTTCAACGCACCACAGTTACAGAAAAAGACAGAAACACAGGAGTAAATCAGGGAAGTGCTTATAAACTTCAAGATGGCCTCCAGTCGAAATTATGATTCTTGTCCTTTGACCGGAAGGAAAAAAGACTTGACAATGTTAAGACTGTCTTGAAAAAGGGATTCCAGAGAGGTTTATTCTGTTTGACTTCTCCAAAATGTACCATTTTTATGTATATTGTCTGTCAGGTCAAATTTGTGTGATTAGTATGGATAAACTATTTTGTTTACCTATTTATAATTCCGGTCAGAGTGTTTGCTTTGTTTTTCTTACATATATATTTTTTTTTATTTGTTTAGAATTGATGAACATTTTAAAACAAGTCCCAAAATCCCTGGGATTGACCTGAATTCAACTAGAGTGTTATTTGAGAAGTTAATGAACTCTCAGCATTCCGTGATTCTAGAACAGGTATGTTCTTTATGTTGCTACAGTGTATGTTTAAAAATTCATTTTTTTTTTTCATTGCAATGATTCAACTTTCAAGAGAATGAAAAAGATGAAAAGGCAAAGGTCTTATAGAAACCTTAATTCTAAAGTATTCCCTTTGGGAATTTGACCTGCCTTCAGCTTTCCTTTTGGCCTAAACCTTTCTAAGGAAAGGCTCCTCCAGAGTGTAAGGTTTACATGGGCAGGGATCTTTGGCCTTTCTCTTCACTGATGTATCCTGAACACCTAGACCAGCGCCTGGCTTATAGGAGGTCCTCAGTGCATACAGTGAATGAGAGTTGAGCATATATCAAATATATATCAAATATATGAATTCGAGATAGAATAACTAGATCTCATATATGTTTGAATTTCTGAATACTCTTTTCTCTCATACAGATCTTAAACAGCTTTGAAAGTTGCCTGATTCCTCAGTTGTCAAGTTCACCACCAGATGTTGAAGCTATGCGAATTTATTTAATACTACCCGAGTTTCCCCTACTCCAGGATTCCAAGTATTATATAACGTTGACTATTCCCCTGGCTATGGCCATCCTTCGGCTGGATACAAACCCTAGCAAAGTATTAGGTGAATTTGCTAAACTCAATATTAGTGTTTTTGTGCTTTTTATTTTATTGATGTGACCACTAGTTATTGGTGGATTGAGATCCAAGAATCTATTTGTTGCCATTGAATGTCCTTAACATTTTAACCTTTTTTCTTTGCTGTTAATTTCTAACTAGCTATATTTATAATGGGAACAAATCGAACCATTATTTCAGTTATTTGAAATGATTCACACCAGACTAATCTTGATTTTTAAAGATTCACAAAGTTAGATTATCCAACTTTATTTTTTTCTTCTATTCTTGCTAGTAGTTAATAGCACCTCAAAATTCAATGTCCATCTGTTGCTTTTACTCCTATACCTAATTTAGGGGGTGGGAGTGAAATGAACTGTGTTGGTGATACACAGGTCTCCAGAAAAGGAGAGGAAGAAAATGACCTAGTGGAGACTTACCAAGTGTTTGTTTTGTTTTTCTTTTTTAGGACAGTTGAGTCCACACTGATTTTTGCAGGCTACGGACACTTTGCTGAGATAAGAACCTTCCGTTCCTCAGTGAATTGGAGAGTGTCTCTCATGGGAGTAGCGCCTGAGATGTTTTTATTAATCAAGTGCAGAAAGTGTGTCTCCTGGCTTTTTCCTTTTTTCCCCCCCCGGTAAATTTTTTTTAGGTGTTCACTGCAGCTCAGTAACTTCTTCATTCCATAAGAAGTAGGATGTAACTTGAGTGTGGTCTCCCCATGAGTAAAGAGACCTGTCTGTGTTCCTGAGGATGGAATACTGGCTTATATTGCTTCCACCTGTGCAGAAGATATAAAAACAGAAATAATCAAGGCACTAGTAGTAATATGTTAGCCCTTAATTATTTTTTTAAGATCAAAAGCCTTTTTGAGCATATTTTCTCAGGTGTGTTAATTAACTGTGAGGTAGAGAGATGGCAACCTGTGAAGGAGTATAGTACCTGACTTAAGTTTTGAAGTTTTTGTAGTTTTAGTTTTTTCAGGTAGAATGGCACAAAGCAATAAAAATTGTTCACTTTTACACTGACTTTGTTTTTAACTTCTAATTATAGAAATTTACACTTAGCGGGAACCAAACCCGGGTCTTTCTGGACTGCAGGCCGACGCTCTAACTGCTGAGCCAAACCGGCCAGGGCTAGAAATTTAAATGTAAAAGAATATCCCAAAGTAGAGAAAACACTACAAGAACACATCAATTAATGATTATCAATATTTTGCCCTTTTTGTTTTATCTATTCCCCTACCATCACCTTTTAATTTTTAAAAAAGTCTTAGACATCATCGCCCGACTGTTGTGGCTCAGTGGTTAAGTGTCGACCTATGAGGTCACTGGTTCAATTCTTGGTCAGCGTACATGCCTGGGTTTCAGGCTTGATCCCCAGTAGGGGGCATGCAAGCGATGTTGATGCTTCTCTTACTGATATTTCTGTCTCTCTCCCCCTCTCTAAAATATCAATAAAACATTTTTAAAAAGTCTCAAACATTATATTGTTTAATCGTTTAAATATTTCAATATGACTGAATTTATTTCTGACAAAGTAGAATTCAGTGGTATCTTTTTTTTTTTTTTTGATCAGGTTATGAGAAAGCATTGTTTGGTGAGAAGCAGAAATAGTTTTTCAGCTAATTATGCCTCTTGAAAGGAAAGAAGGGTTGTCACATTGGTGCTGTTCTGGGGTGTGTGGTCATTGACATCCCTGGTACAGGATTTAGGTGTGGTGTCTGAGAAGGTCTGAAAGGACCAGGATAAATGAATGCTCCTGCCTAAAATATGTACCTTAGCATCATGGCCACATGTACCCTTGGGACTGAAATTTTAGATTAGCATTCTGAATGAGTCTTTGAGGATAAAAATCAGATCAAGCTTTACAAAAAAAGCTCCAGGGATTCTTGTACAGCTGCTGCTCTCTCCAGAAAAGCTTTAATAGATCTATTAAAATATGTTTTTGTTGATTTTAGAGAGAGAGGAAGGAAGAGAGAGAGAGAAACATTGATGAGAGAGAAACATCAATTGGCTGCCTCCTGCACACCCCCTACTAGACATCGAGCCCTCAACCCGGGCATGTGCCCTGACCAGGAACTGAACTGGTGGCCTCTCAATGCATGGGGCGATGCTCAACAAACTGAGCCACACCAGCCAGGGCTAATGGATTCTTTTAAAGTCAATTTTAGGAAACTATTTTAGACTAACATTCACTTTCTAGCTATAGTGGTTTTTAGCTAGTAGGCAGAAGATGTAAATACTTAAGACATAAATATCAAGATTGTATGTTGAAATATGTCTTTTCTTTCTTTCTAAAGATAACTGGTGGTCTCAGGTATGCCCGAAATATTTCATGAAGCTGGTAAACCTCTATAAAGGTGCAGTTGTTTATCTACTGAGAGGAAGAAAGACATTCTTAATACCTGTACTGTTTAACAATTATATTACAGCAGCTCTCAAGCTCTTGGAGAAGTTATATAAGGTAAACATTGAGTGGAGCCAGCGGGAGAAGGCTGAATAAATGGGAGGGTCAAATGTCCTACTGAGGTGTCCTATGGGAACCCATTTTCCAGTTGTCTTGGTTTTAGTTGGCCTTATTTTTTTTTCAGGTAAATCTTAAAGTGAAGCATGTGGAATATGATACATTTTACATTCCTGAGATTTCTGGTCTTGTGGACATTCAGGAAGACTACCTCATGTGGTTCTTGCATCAGGCAGGCATGGTAAGAATTTATGTAAAGCGTATCTTACAGCTTTAGTCTTTTCTCAGAGTATAAGTAAGGATAAAGAAATCACATCTGAGCCTTGTACTTTGCCCTTGACTTTGGTTAGTGTCATACCTGTGTTTTATCCACTGGCTCTTGCATACTTGGAAGTGCTTTGAGGAGTCACAAATGATCATAAGGAGTTATAAATGGGTAGTCACACAGAATGGTAAACATTTTAATTAGTTGTCAACATTAAAAAAAAAATCAAGGTATCTAAAGTAGTCAAACTCATAGAAACAGAAAGTAGAATTGTGGGGCGGGGAAATGGGGAGTTGTATAGCAGGTATGGAGTTGCAGTTTTAGAAGATGACAGAGTTCTGGAGATCACTGCACAATAATGCAAATGTAGTTAACACTACTGAACTGTATACTTTAATATGATAAAGATAGTAAACTTTGTTATATGTCTTTTGCCACCATTTTAAAATGTCAAGACATATAAAATGATTTTTTAGCTTTTCTTAAAATTTGGAAGATCTGGCCACATGACTTTGTCTTCCTAGATGGCAGCAATTGGCTAGAGTTCAATTGTGGTTCCTTAGACGAGGCTTCTTTGTGCCATAATCCTCACTGTAGCTTGATTTTAACATTGAGGAAAGGACATTTGCTCTTTATAATCTTCTAATAACTATCTACCTTATTTCAGTTGTCTTATTCAGCTGCCTGAACCCAATAGGCCACCTCTGATTTAGGATTATGTGAGTGAAAATGTCGTATATCCCTGACCTAGTTCTCACTGTATGTTAGACATTCTGTCCAAGGAACTGCATTTGGATTCCTACCTGCCACCCTTGACATGGCAAGAACTGCTCAGTTCGATTGCTCTGGCTTGAGATATATGCAAGGCTTTTTGAGATCCCCATCTGTGGAGTATGTGCAAATAAATTTGAGTCAGGTCAGAAAACAGAATGATAATTTGGTTATAATATTTAGTGAAGCCATGAATACCAGATAACATTTGAGGTGAGTTCTTGCCAGTTTAACAGATTTAACACCAACAGTTAGGCAATTTTTTCCCTGTAGGGTTTTTGGAGGTCAATAATGGCCTCCAAAACCAAGGTATTTAAATAGGTTTATTTAACTAAGCAAGATTGTTTTCTTTGTGAAATAATAGATGATTAATGTTAGGCACAATATTGTGTTTTTAATAAGATTTTATAATTACCTTGAAAAAACAAAAATACTTTTCAACACAAGTGGATTAGAGTCTTCTAAATAGGTTTACATGGGAAATTTCACATGGAAGCAATGAATTCTGCTTTCACCTGCTAATTTAGAAATTATAAAAAGATTAGCTCTTTTGTTTTATCAGTCTGTATCAAGGTATTATTCATTGAATAATGCAATGTTAAGAGCCGAAATAAGCCTTATTAATTATTTAGGCCAACTGCTGTTTTCAGGAGGAAATTGAGACTCAGAGAAGTTAAACAATTTTCCCACCAATTTAATTAGCCATACAAGCCAAGTCTTCTGACTTCTACCCTTTTTCTGACTTTTAATGCTGAATAGGATAATTCTAATGAACCTTAATTTTTTTTTGCCACTGAAGGAGAAGTTACTGGTGTTAAATCTAGATTAAGACTGTAATCTCTGAATGGAGGTTAAATGAGCACCTTTTACAATTTGTTTATAGTTTCTTTCTCTTAATATTTAATAAGAAAATATAGATCTTGAATACCAAATGCTCATCTCCTCTTTAGGATTTAAGGTAGTTATTATAGAAAGGTAGAAAATTAGGTGACCTTTTGTAATTTCTGTAGAATTAAAAAATTATATTAGGTACAATACTATTAGAAATTGAAGTCGAAATTTCTTGATATCTTGTATTTAAACCTGAACTGCTAAAGCCATTTTATATGTAAATTTGTTTTTTAACCACTCTTTTGAGGTATAATTGACATATGAAATTATAGTAATTTCAGATGTACAACATAATGATTCAGTGTTTGTATACACTGCAAAATGATCACCATGATCTAATTACTGTCCATCAGCATACATAGTTACAGATGTTGTTTTACTCCTTTTAAATAAGTTTATTTATTTATTTTTTAGAGAGAGAGGAAGGGCGAGAGAGATAGAAACATTGATGTGTCGGCTGCCTCCTGCACGGCCTCTACTGGGGATGGAGCCCACAATTCCAGTAGGTGCCCTGACCGGGAATCGAACCGAGACTTCTCAGTCCATGGGACGGTGCTCAGTCCACTGAGCCACACCGGCCGGGCCAGATGTTTTTTTTCTTGTCATGAGAACTTTTAAGATTTACTGTCTTAGCAACTTTAAAATGTGCAATACAGTATTATGAACTCTAAGTCACCATGCTATACATTAGCTCATCGGAACTTAGAACTTGTACTGTTTGACCTGTATCTCCCCGACTTCCCAACCCCTAGCCCCTGGAAACTACCATTCTTCTGTTTCTTTGAGATTGGCTTTTTTCTTTTTTTTTTTTTTAAGATTCATCATATAAGTGATACCATACAGTATTTATCTTTCTCTGGCTTATTTCACTTACCATAATTCCCTTCAGGTTCGCCTATGTTGTTTCAAATGGAAGAATTTCCTTGTTTTATAGCAGAATAATATTCCATTGTATGTATGCTACAGTAAATAGATTTTTTTGTGTTAAATGTTTTAGCTTGGTAGTAGCTGAGGCAATAGAGCGTGTAGTTCAGAGCACATGCTTGAGTAAAAAAAGAACTGGGTTCTCTCTTCACTCTAGCCTGTTACCTATGTGACCGTAGGCAAGTTACTTAACTTCTGTAGGCCTAGCATCCTCATTTGTAAATGAGAATTATAACAGTATTGTGAGACTTAAATGGAGGAAAGCATGCATGGAAAAGCCTTACTTGGCAGAGCGCTGTACTTGGCTTATAGCAAATAAATCTTTAACTGTTTTCCAGTAAGCTGTTCTCAGCACCTAGTAAACATCGGGTGCCTTCTAGTCACTGGGGATGGAGACATGCACAGTACCTGGTGGCTGCCTCTGTGGGGTGTTCAGTGCAGAGGCAACAGTGAAAAGGGAATTACAGAGGGAAATAACATGTGCAAAGGGCTATGGAGCACAAAAGACATTCTAAAGTGGCTTATTTTTGTTCATTTTACAGAGGAGGTGGTAGTAGCTTATTTCCATTAGTAAACTGCCATCATCCACTTGAAAATGAAGTAACACAAGATGTGTGATTTTTGTGGGCTCCCATAGAGGGCAGCACAAGTAAAAGAGTTAGTGATACGAAAGTAAATGCTTCAAAAAGAAAGCTAGAGTCAACTTGATATATTGCCTTGTGTGTCACACGGGGGCAGTGTTTCTGCTCTGAGTTCTGTAGTGTGCATGGTCAGACAAGGCAGACGTTTTTGCCTCAGCATTCAGTGATGGCTGGGAGCCAGATATGCCCATGGTGGGTATAGGAACACGTGGTGGCAGGCAGATCCTACAGCAGATGTTCCTGTGTTTTCTTATTGGCTTGACAGGTGTCTGTGATGTTGATATGGAATTAAAAAAAAGATAATGCCAGTTCTTCAGTTCTGTATCATGTTCTTATTGATTGCTCCTATTCATATACTTTAAAAAATGAACTAAGGTCACAGTGCAACCCCAATTCAAGCAGAAACACTTGAAATGTGATCCACCAGTACTTTGCTAGTTTTAGGTGTTTGAGACTCATTTTGTGGGAATAGATGGCCCAGGACAAGCAGCCCCTCAGAGGGGATCACATGTCAATTCATGACATATCCTTCTAAGTCAGGGAGACAAGTCAGGAAACAAAATTATAACAGCTGTTTCAGTGTTTATTTCATGTAATATGGAAATGCCAATACTAATACCATTTCTAAAATATTCAGCAGTCACACAATAAAAATCAGTGAACTTATTATATTTCAAATACAAAAAAGTCATAGACTTATAAAAAGTTTACAGATATACAGTAGACCTTCATATAGGTCTGGTGCTCCTTTTGATGGAGTAGCCTTCTCTTCTTCACCCTCCTTAGAAATGGCACTGTGGTCCTCCCCTGGGGGAGGGTCTTCTGGACCATCAACTCTGTAGCCTTGGCTCTGGTTCCTGACTGAGGCAGTTTAGGATTCCTTTTCAGCCAACCCACTCAACTGAGAGCATGGTGACCCCGCCAGCAATTTAACCCCTGTCCTTCTGCAGACAGAGATCAGCTTCCTTCCCAAACTGGGCTCTGTCAGGGGGTGGGAGGGTCAGGCAAAGAGCGGAGGGAGGGAATGAGAGCTATGGGGGGAGGGCTTGTGGTGGGGTTTGCAGGGAGAGGGTAGTGGAGAGTCAGAGACCTGGAGTGGGACTGTTGATTGATGTCTGGAATAATTCTTGGGTTGGCAAAAGTAGGTTTACAGTCATTTGTATGGAAAAGAATACAATAATTAATAAATAATAATACAAGAATAAATTCTGTGTTTTGTGTTCTCACAACTGGAAACCTACTGTTGTCCCTCCTGTATACTACGCCAACAAAAATACCAGTATTTAAAAATACTAGGTATACTGGGGCACTTTAATGCCAACAACTGGTTTTATAGTCACTGTTATCTTTTCTCTCATAGTCACTTTTACATTGGAAGTGTTCAAAACTTCATCATGGTTTATAGACCAACACACATTAAAGATCTTCCTTTTCTCTTAAGAATAAGCAAATCACACTTAGAGTAAAATAATCTGTTCTGAGATGAAGATTCTAAAATTCTGAATATTGACACCAGTTTAAAATCTACTTCCCCCGGATACTTATACCTTTTGTAGGTACTTAAGACTAGAAGATAATTTTTCAAAGTACTGTCTCATGGCATGTGTGTGTGTTTTATTTTAGTGATTTCAGTTCCTAAGTTTAAACTAATTAGATACGTAGGCATGAATAAGTCATGTTCGCCTGGATTATGTATGCATGATTTCATACCTGTCTCACTGGACAAAACTGTCTTTTCGATTAGTGTTCCTTATTCTAGGGAAATGTTCCAAGATCCATAAAGGAAACTGTTTCTAAAGGATAAACAGAGTGCCCAGCCGGTGTGGCTCAGTGGTTGAACATCAACCCTTGCACCAAGAGGTCACCGGTTCACTTTTCCAGTAGGGCACATGCCCAGGTTGTGGGCCAAATGCCCAGTGTGGGGCATGCAGGAGGCGGCCAGTCGATATTCTCTCTCGTTGATGTTTTTCTCTATCTTTCTCCCTGTCCCTTCCTCTCTCTCTAAAATCAATACAAAAAATAAAATAAAATACTTTTATTTAAATTTATTGGTGGATTTTAATTAAAATTGCTTTTTGTTTTTCCTCACCAGAGGATATTTTTCCATTTATCATCAGATAGAGTGGAAGGGAGGGAGAGAGAGAGAGGGACAGAGGGAAACATTGATGTGACAGAGCCATATCGACTGGTTGCCTCCCACAGGACCCAACCAGGGCTGGGGACAAATCACAATGAGGTATGTGTCCTTGACCTGAATCGAACCTGTGACTCATTGGTCCGTGGGCTAATGCTCTAACCACTAAGCAAAATCAGCCAGGGCAATTGAAATTGCTTTTAAATGATATCATTGGAATATACACAAACACAAAAGGAGGTAGGCATGCACTACATATTCATATAGCACTTAAATAAAACGGAATCAAATGTATAGATTGAATACAAACTAACTCTAAAATGAATAAAATGTGGGTAGCCTTGCTGAAACCGTACCCTGCTTGCATGCAGATTGGGACTGCCTGCTGTCAGGCCTTGGTGCTTGAGTTCCAAGGCCTCTCCTATTTACCCTGGCATGACTCAGCTCTTTCTTCCTTTTAGCTACGATGTTTTTTAATTTGTTTTTTTTTTTCTTCTTTTATTTATTTATTTTTGTTACAGATGTTTCTCCTTTTTCCCCCCATTGACACCCTCTTCCCCCTCCCTCCCCACCCCATCCCCAGCTTTGTTGTCCATGTCCACTGGTCATGCATACATGCATATAAGTTCTGTGGTTTATCTCCCGCCCCCCTTCTGGGAATTGTCAGTCTGTACCCTACTTCTGCGTCTCTGGGACTACCCTGTTCTTCAGACTGTTATGTTCATTATATTCCACAAATAAGTGAGATCATATGATACTTGTCTTTCTCTGTTTGGCTTGTTTCACTTAGGATAATACTTTCCAGGTTCCTCCATGTCATCTTTTTTTTTTTATCCTCACCCGAGGATACTTTTCCATTTTTTGTACAGATAGAGTGGGAGGGAGAGAGAGGAAGGGAGAGAGAGAGAGAGAAACATCGACGGGGCCGGGGACAAACTGCAACCGAAGTACGTGCCCTTAGTGGGAACCGAACCCGGGTCTCACTGGACCGCAGGCCGACGCTCTAACCGCTGAGCCAAACTGGCCAGGGCCCTCCATGTCATCTTAAAGGAGAAGTGCTCTTTCTTTCTTACAGCTGCATAGTACTCCATTGTGTATATGTGCCACAGCTTTTTTATACTCTGGTTTCTCTTCAGATCGAATAAATCTTTTGCCTTTTAGCTACTATTAAACCTTCATTTACTTCGAGAGCCGGGACAGCTCTGGCCCTTTCCTGGATGCAAATGAAATCACTTAACCAACGAAGACTGCCTTTCTTCTTTTCTTATTACTCTTGGACAATTAAGTATAACATGGCACCAATGCAATCATTAAAATAAATGCAAATTATATTGTGCATGCCATTATAAGGAGGTCATTCAGAATGTGTTTTATTGATTTTGTTTAGGATATTATTTATTTTTTAGAAACCTATAAAATTAAAAAAATGTATATAGCACCCTCATATATCTGAGAATAAATTCATAGTTTTCCATTTGAGAACTATTACTATAGATCAACATGATCTGTATTGCTGATATTTTTGTTTGTTTCTATTAACTTTATGAACAATGTTTGTTAAGTAACCTAGAAAAAACTTCCAGAAGAGATTTTTTTCCCCTGATAAACTGAAACTAGCATATGTTTTAGATACATTTGTGGGTTTTTAAATTTTACTGTTATTCCCCTCCTCAAAAGTTTAAGATTTTATTTACATATTGATGGAGTGTCTTCTGTAGGTCAAGCATTGTTTTTAATGCTGAGTCAGAGACAGCTTTTAAATATATGGTTTCTCTTCCCAGTAATAGCCTGTGTGTGTGTAAGAGATTTAACATGCTGACAAATAAATGTAATTTGCATTAACTTTATCCAACTAAAGGAACCTCTGAAGTCAAGGTTTTAAAATTCCTGTTTTGAAATTAGATTTATTTTATGAAAGAGAATTCTATTAATACTGTGAATTATGGAGTTAATGAAATGGCCTCTAATGGTCCTTTAAAATTTTTTATAGATTGTTTTTAGTTTTTTTCTCAGTCTGTGTTCATCAAAACATTTGGTCTATTCCATTAAAATCTAGTCAGCCATTCAAATGGGGTTTGTTCTGTGGCCAAATAGATAGTTTATATGTTTTGTTATTTGTATTTCACATTTGAACAGGGTAAAAAGTTTAGGTTTTGCAATTCAAATAGACTTTTTATTTTTCTTTACACAGAAGACTAGACCATCTATAATACAGGTAAATGATTATTTTCAAATTTACTTATATATATTTCCAACAGTATTTCTGTGGATACTACAGTATTGCCAATAATGTTTTATTTAGGATGCTGTAACACTTTGTTCCTATCCTTTCATCTTTGATGCCCAAGCCAAGACCAAAATGTTACAGACGGATGCTGAACTACAGATGCAGGTTATCATATTTTAAAAATTACTTTTTCTTCTTATGTGTTTCTTTCAACTTACACATTCAGTTGTAATTTCTACTAATAAGAGAAAGTCTATTTGGACATGTTCCATTCTAACTTTTTGAACTAGTACAAATATTTTAGCAATTTTATGTGTACATGTGAGTACACATTTACATAGATCAGGGGTTGGCAAGCGTTTTCATAAAGGGCCACATTGTAAATATTTTAGTCTTTGTTGGCCATACAGTCTGTCTCAACTATGCAACTCCGTTGTAGCACAAAAAGTGATAGACAGTATGTGAATGACTGAGCACGGCGGTATTCCAATAGAACTGAATGTGCACTGAAATTTGAATTTTCTATAATTTTCACATGTGATGAAATATTATTCTTTTGATTATTTTTTTCAACAATATAAAAATATAGAAACCACTCTGAACTCAAGAGCTGTACAAAAAACAGGCAGCAGGCTCGATTTGGTCCAGTTGTCTGCTGACCCCTGATTGAGATAGAAAGATAGCTAAATGGAGCTTGGTGATTCTTTATTGAATTACAACTTAAGTTATAAAGATTTATTTTAAGTACACATTTTTATTATAAAATATTATTGGTTTTGATAAGCTTACAAAGATATTTGATGTATCATTCCAGGTAGCAGTCAACGGAGCCAACCTGCAGAATGTCTTCATGCTGCTCACCTTGGAGCCTCTGCTGGCCAGAAGCCCCTTCCTGGTCCTTCACGTTCGCAGGAACAACCTCGTTGGAGATGCCCTAAGAGAGCTGAGCATTCATTCTGATATTGATCTAAAAAAGCCTCTCAAAGTGAGCCCTTCAGTATATTCCTCTAAATACCCTTATTGATTTTCTTTAAACAGTATTGAAGCAGCAAAGATCTTAACTATGAAAACTGTGGAGTGCAGTTATTCATTCTTTCTTTCATTCATTTTACAAGAATTTAATCACCTCCTGATCTGTCAAATCACCAAACAGCACATCTCAACATCAGATAAAAATGCCGATTACTTGAGGGATTATAGGGCTTTCTTTGTCTGTGTCTTTGGTGTATCTGCTCCAGCTCTACCAAAAACAAGCAAATAACAGCAAAACTAAAGCTTCAGCTAGGTGTAAAACTATTAGCCAGCGTCTAGGAAGTCTTTGGATATTAAAGATTTAAGGGAAAGAAGGTAAAAAGGAGACTATAGAAAGGTAGTGAAATCATTTGGGAAGCTGTTGGCCTATTATGACAGGCACTCTTAGTACCCTGCTATTATTGAATTAAGAAATTGTCTTTCCTTATAGACTGTGCATGTTTGTGTTACTACTTATTGTATTCCCTGGGCTTAGCACAATGCTTAATGCACAGTAGGTGTTAATAAGTATTTAGTGAATTACTTGAAATTTTAAGTCATTTATCTTACCCTTCAGAAGACTTCCATATCTTTATTAGCAATCCTCTTGTAAACTTCAGTTTCTCCCCAGAACTTCGGGGTTAGATTTTCGATCTAACAGGGGCTTCTTTTTGCCCACTGTTTTCAATCAGTAATTTAGATAAGAGTTTTTCTCCAAAGCATGAGTGAGTTGTCTTCTGCTGGCATCTATTCCCACCTTTACTCTTGTCTTGCTGTGGGCAGCCTTGAAGACAACCACAGGATAAGCTTTCTCAAATGCTGTTTTTAGCTCTGTGCCTGAGCCCTTACCTATAAAATGGGGATGATAATAGTAATACCTATGCATAAAGCTGCTCTGAGCATTCGGTTAATAGACTTTAAGTGCTGGCATGTAGTAACTCTCAGTAACTCTCATTCACTGATTTGCTGTAGTTGTTATGAGATGACCATTATGGGTCTAGCATGCCCCAGGTGGGCCTGTTTGTGGAACATCTTGTAGCCCCTCACGGAGCCCAGGTCTGTACCTATTTAGAATGCCCTTCTCTCTTCCATATGTGTGTGTTTCTTCAAGAGCCCCGTCTTTTACTCAGGTTAATCATTGCTTATCTCTATGTGCCAGAGCATTTACCTCTCAAAGTATTTGACTCTTTGAAAATAAAGTGTATTCTCTAATGAATTATTTTATGTTTGCCTTACTGCCCTAAATAGATGGACATTTAGTGAACTTCTGACTTTCTTTGTATTCCTGACATACCTAGTAAAAATTCTTTCTGTGTGTCTGTAAGTGCCTTGTTAATAATCAGCGGATGCATCTTGCAGTTTTCATTGCATCATTGTATTCTGTGTTATATCTTCCTTCCTTTGTCCTGACTTTGGAAAGAATTTGCTAAAAAAAAAAAAAAGATAGAATACCAAAGATTCTTTAAAGTATTAATTCTACTTTCATTGCTTTAAGGTAATCTTTGACGGTGAAGAAGCAGTGGATGCTGGTGGTGTCACAAAGGAGTTCTTTCTTTTACTGTTAAAAGAACTTTTGAATCCCATCTATGGAATGTTTACCTACTATCAGGATTCACATCTCCTGTGGTTTTCAGATACAGTAAGTTAGTGACATTATCGTTAAACAGATGGATAGAATTAAACTTTTTTCTTTGGTTGTAAGACCCAGACTTCTGACTTTGAAAAGGGAAGCATAACAAAGAAAATAATTTAAAATGTCTAAATAATGCATCCAGTCTTTTTTTTACCTGTTGTCAAGACCTCATAGGGTCTTTTGTCACCCATCAGTCCCTTTCTGTTTCTAGTAGGTAAGATCCAAGTTTTGTTATCTGTGAATGGTGAAAAAAATCACAGCATGAACAAGGACTTGCTTTTATGACATGTGGAAAATAGTCAAATGTGTCTTATTTTAATAATAATGATAGTATGTGTAGGAATACAAACTTTTTAAAATTTAATAGGAGAGCTAAGTTTTAAGAAGCATACTGATTTCAACCGGACTGTAATTTAGTTCTTTTTCTACCAGAGTTTTCTCTGTGGATCTTGTACTGTCCTAAAAGGTAGCCATTAGCCACATGTGGCCATTGAAATTGAAATTTTATTTAATTAAAAATAAATAGTACCAAAGATTCATTTTCTCAGTTTCACTAGCCACATTTCAAGTGGCTATCATATGGGATAGCACAGAATAGACTATTGCCTCATTGCAGAAAGTACTGTTGGCCAACATTGCTCTAAATAAATACAGCCATGCGCTGCATAATGACATTTCTGTCAATGATAGATTGCACATGTGACAGTGGCCCCATAAGATTACAACAGAGCTGGAAAATCCTATTGCCTAGTGACATTGTAGCCATTGTGATGGCTTCGCACAATGCATTATTCATGTTTGTGGTGATGCTGATGTGAATATGACTGCTGCCTGTCGTGTAGAAGTACAGCACAATTACATACGGTGCATAATACCTGATAATTATAATAAAAGGCCATGTTACTGGTTTATGTAGTTCCTGTACTGTACATTTTATCATTATTTTAGAGTGTACTCTTCCTACTTATAAAAAAGAAATTTTCTGTAAGACAGTGCTGTGTTTCTCGGGCAGTGGCCTCATACATCTCGTGTTTACCACGTCTCTTGATCACATCACTTTCTCTTGTGCTTGATTTAATCTCATGTTGTTTTGTACAGTCACATGCTGTGCAGGCTTGTAGCCTTGGAGTAATATACCACGCAGCCTAGGTATGCAGTAGGCTCTACCATCTAGATTTGTGTAAGTGCACCCTGTGATGTTCACACAAGGACAAAATCACCTGATGCATTTCTCAGAAGGAATCCCCCTCATTAAGTAATGAATGATTGTATAAGCTGTTCTATCACGAGATGAGCTGTAAATGCTTAACTCTGTTTATAATGTAGCTTTTGGGTATAATCATATTTTTGTCAGGGGAGTTTATCTGCTCCAGAAGGTAATTAAATATTAATAAGGTCTTTATTCTTTTATACTGAAAATATTGTAAGTAGACGATTGTTTTGAGAGCCAGAAACACTGAATTTCTTTTTAACACATTTACGTGTGTACTGCAAGTGTTTTGTAGAGCACAACTGGTTTCACCTGATTGGCATAACCTGTGGACTAGCCATCTACAACTCCACCGTGGTCGATCTCCACTTCCCACTGGCGCTCTACAAGAAGTTACTGAACGTACAGCCTGGCTTAGAAGACTTGAAGGAACTGTCACCCACTGAAGGAAGGTACAAAGCTAAAAGACAGATTGGTATGGGGAACTGCTCTGGCTGCCTCTGGCAGTGTGGATTAAAAGGTGAAACACCAGAGGCACTAGTGTGAGTGTATCGAACCATGTGGTTAGACTGTCGTGAGTGCTTTGTCTTAAGGCTTAGCTACACAGCCACTTGCTTGGAGTCTCCACGGGCAGAGGCAAGGAAAGAAAGTGAAGTCAGAGCTGCCCAGGAATACAAAATAGTCTTTTTTTTTTTTTCTTATTCTGAACAAGAAATAAAGACTTTGAGATTTGTTATGGTCCAGAATGCACGGGGAAGAAATTACAAAGGGAGCCTGTATTTTAAAAAACCTACAATTCTTCCCCTCCTTCTGCATTTCTTTTTTCTGTCTTGTCTCCTTTACACTCAGACTACTGTCACACAACACTCTGGTCACCACATGTGTGGGAGTTTTCCCCTCCCCAGCACCAAGCAGTGCTCCACGACCACTAAACTTTAACAGTCTGCCTGGAGATAGTGACAGATCCCACAGGTTAAGGGCTCAGTCCCACAGGACTGTTCCACCTCACTTCAGATGCCACTTGCAAGGAGGAGGTTCCCAGGTTATCCACAACTTCTGTCTGATTTTGCTACAAAATCAGAGGTTCCCATGAACCGCCCCCCCAGGTTTGCTGGAATAGCTCACAGAGCCCAGGAAAACATATTTACCAGTTTATTAGAGGATACAGTAAAGTGTACCAGATGAACAGCCATCTAGATGAAGAGATACACAGGATGAGGTCTGAGAGGGCCCTGAGGGCAGGAGCTTCTGTCGCTGTGAGTTGGAGTGCATCCCCCTCCTGGTGTATGGATGTGCTCGCCAACCCAGAAGCTTTGTGAACCTCCTGCTGTTGGGGTTTTGTGGAGGCTTTCTCACACAGGTGTGATCAATTATTACCTCTATTTCTAGCTCCACTTGCCTCTCTGGAAAATGGGGTGGGGCCGAAAATTCTAAGCTTCTACTCATGGCTTAGTCTTTCTGGTGACCAGTTCCCACCCAGGAGCCCACCAAGAGTCACCTCATTGGAACAAAAGATGCTTCTGTGCTCTTACTACTTAGAAATTTACAAGATTTTAGGAGCTCTGTGTCAGGAACCAGGGCAGATTATATATATATATATATGTGTGTGTGTATATATATATATATACACACACACACACATATACATATATATATATATTTTTTCTCTATTTTCTCTTAGAGCCTTTAGAAAAAGTTTAATTGAGATATAATTCACATACCATATAGTTCACCCACTTAAAAGTAACAATCCAGTGTTGTTTGGTGTACTCAGAATTGTGTGCCGTCACCACAACTTTAGAATATTTTTATCACCTGAAAGAAACCTGTGCTCCTTAGGCATCATCGCCCATCTCCTCGTGCCACAAGCCCTAGGCAGCCGTAGTCTACTTTCTGTTTGCATAGGTTTGCCTGTTCTGGATATTTCATGCAAATGGAATCATTCACTGTATGGTCCTTTTTGTCTAGCTTCTTTCACACAGCACGTTTTCAAGGTTCAGCTGTATTGCAACTCGTATCAGTAACTCATATCATTTATTTATTTTTTGCCAAATAATATTCTGTTGTATGGATATACTAATTTTGTTTATCTGTTCATCAGTTAATGGACATTTGGCTTGTTTCTACTTTTTGAATATTATGGATGATGCTGCTTATGGACATTCTTGTGCAGTTTTTGTGTACACATAAGATTTTATTTCTCAGGTATACACCTAGGAGTTGAATTGCTGGGTCATAGGGCAGCTCTAGGTTGAGCCTTTTGAGGAACTGCCAGACAGTTTCCAAAGTAGCAGAGCCATGTTCTTCTCTTTCTGACTCCTTAAAACTCCCGACGTTCTCTGTATTGATTTTAGGTAGCATAAGATTAATTATATAAAAAGAAACCACAGCTGTAGCTTTCTGTATACAGTGTAATCCTTTTGGCATTATCAGGAAGGAACACCCCTTTCTACAGAGAAAGAGTACCGATTTTAAGATGGAGATAGAGAAGGGCAGTCTCCAAGGTACCCTCTGGAAAGGAGACTTCTGTGACGCCACCAGCCTAGGACACCAAAACTGAGAAACCATACAGGTGGAAGAGTTGAGGTCAGAGAGTGGAAGAGAAACTTTAGAAGGAATATAAAAAATGACAGAGGAGGCCCAGGCAGGGTTCATTTTTAGTAGCTGAAAGAGAAGGCCAGAGAGTGACAGGAGTGTGCACCATGTCCTTGACCAGCCTGGCTGAGAAGGCTGTATCTCAGGTAATGATTTTGGCTGGTTATCTGGTAGCAAATTTAAATTCCACACTAAGAATTTTCTTCCTGGGCAACTCTTGCTGAGACTGCCAGACTTGGAGCTCACTAAAGAAGAAAGTGTGAACAAGGTCTAACTACAAGAATATATTATTTTGAAAACTAGGATATGGCTGTTGTTGGAATAAACATTTTTTAAGAGTGCATGTTTGAATGTGCTTTAGTCTGACACAGGTAATAGAGTGTCTTTGCCATATAGAGCCCCTTGAATTAACAAGTAAGCCATTAAGATTCCTAATGGATGAGGTGACTTTGTGGCTTTTTAAAAAATCTCATTTGAGGATATTTTTTCTTTTTTTTTTTATTCTCACCCGAGGACATTTTTTTGGGTTTTTGTTCAGATAGAGTGGGAGGAAGAGAGAGAGAGAGAAACATTGACATGAAAGGGACATATCAAGTGGTTGCCACCCGCAAGACCCAACCAGGGCCGGGGACAAACTGCAACCGGGGACAAACGTGCCCTTAGTGAGAACCGAACCCGGGTCTCTCTGGACTGCAGGCCGACGCTCTATCCGCTGAGCCAAACTGGCCAGGGCGTGACTTTTTTTTTTAATGATAGAAGGATTATTCTACTGAAGCATATGGATGAAGCCAGTCTGTAGGACCACTGCGGTACCATCTCCCCTGGTATCTGCTCCTAAGCAATGCCAAGGTTAAAAGAACCTTCAAGTGTGTCAGATATAAATTCATTCAAATTTCTTCATAAATTCAGTAATATCTGCCACTAGGAAAAGAGAACAATTATTGTCTTACAGGTCTATTGCCATATTTCTTTCCAAGACAGAGGTAACATGGTTTTCTGTCAGCCTGGATTTATGTTCATTCTAGAATCTTCTTTTATAGTTTTTCCCTGCAAACAGTCTCGACATGTAACTGAGATAAAACAAAAAACAAAAAACAAACAAAAAAACCCCACTATTGCCATGTCTGATTTACCTCTTTTCTTTCTCCATCATTCTATGATTAGGAGTCTTCAAGAACTTTTAGATTATCCTGGGGAAGATATTGAGGAGACTTTCTGCCTCAACTTTACGGTAAGGATTTCCGGTTTGCTTATGATTGTGCCTGTCTCTCTCATCGTGCTTACAAGTCATAACTAGCATTCGTTTTTCTACAGGTCAAATGACAAGATCAGGAAATTCTCTGAACCAAATTATTTTAATCATAGTGTCTTAGGTTCAGTAAGTGTGTTGAATAAATATTGAATAATCTATGTACTTAAAAAAAATCACGGAAGCATTACTCTTCTTTGTTCCTGATACATTTCTTTTCTAGAGTTTATATCAAATTTCACTTTGATTGCATTTATTGGCAACTCCAAGTCTTAAAACAAAAGAGAGCCTTTCAGGCAGCAGTTCTCAACTTGTGGGTCACAACCCCTTTGGGGGTCGAATGACCCTTTCACAGGGGTTGCCTAAGACATAACAGTAGCAAAATTACAGTTATGAAGTAGCAATGAAAATAATTTTATGGTTGGGGGTCACTACAACATGAGGACTGTATTAAAGGGTCGTGGCATTAGGAAGGTTGAGAACCACTGCTTTAAGGTGTCAGTGTTTTCTAACTCAGATTTTCTCTCTGTCCCAATAAGCTACACTTGTTCCTAAAGCTTCTCTCATTCATTTGGGTTCTAGAGAGATAAGTGGTAAACAAAATTTAAACATTTCTTTTTTTGCCCCTTAAATATAGATTTGTCGAGAAAGCTATGGAGTGATTGAACAGAAGAAGCTGATACCTGAGGGAGACAAAGTAACTGTGGGCAGGGATAACAGGTTAGTCCTGACCTTGGACTTCCGCAGACATTGCTGCTTTATTTTTCTGCACTTTTAAGACCAAAATTGAAGTTCAATTCTAACCCCTTTTGCAGAAGAATTAAGGGAGAGAGCCAGACATTACAGATTTAAATGAATTTTTAATAGTAGAGGAAGCACTGGACCTGAATTCAGGAGATACCTGTTTCAATTCTAGATCTCCATCTTATGGATTTTGACCTTGAAAACTCATGTAAACTGATCTCAGTTTCTTATCTGAAAAATGGGGGTTATAAAAACTGCCCCACCTACCTAATGGGATGGTTGTGAGACTAAAGTGAGATAGTTTATAGGAAAACATTTTGGAATGAGTGAGCTCCCAGCATCTAGCACAGGGTTCTCAGTACCCAGCAGAGAGCCTGATACAAAAATGCTCAAAAAATGTGTTGAATAAATGAATGTTAAAAAGATGAAGAATTTGCAATATAGATTTTAAATGATTTTTTCTCCCTCATGATAATTAATTCAAGTACATTTGATTTTTTTTCAGGATGATTTACCATCTCTGTGTTATCTCTTTAGAGGAGAAAAAAATTCAATTTTGTTTACTTTTGTATTAAATTATGAGTGAGGTTGCTGGCAGTCTGCGTATTAATTAATTCAATTTACAAACACGAGTGTCTGCTGTGTGCCAGGCATGTTGCTGGGTATAGGAAATAAGTAACTTTTATCTTTGAAAAGCTCAGGCTCAGTTGAGAAGGGTCAGCTTAAGTGAACGCTTGCAGTAGATCTCCGTGCGTGTGACTGAGTAATAGGCCAAAGGCCACGGGATCAGGGGGAGAAGCTACAGCACTTATACTGGACATCGAAGAGTGAAGTGGGGGGAACATTTTAGGCACAGGGAATAATGAGTCAGGATTCAAGCTGGACACATGATAGAGAATGATGTGTACTTACTTATGGGATGGGGTCCAGTGTGTGGATGCAGGGCAGGTGCTGCAGTTGCATTAGGATAGGTTGTCTAGGCTTTAAGTGGGGTTTGGACTGGGATGTGGTTGATCAGTTTTAAAAAGATAACTGGTGGTCATATGGAAATAGACCACATGTAGGGAGACCCATGAGGAGACTGTTGAGGGTAGCTCAGGTAAGGGGGAGTGAGGGCCAGAATGAAGGTAGTGGGAGTACAGGGCTGACTGCGTGTTGGTTATGTAATCCCCAGAAGCTCCTGTCTGATTATATATGGATGGCACTAGAGAGGAACATAACGATAACACTGAGGTTTCCAATTTGCACAACTAACAGGAAACAAAATCTGTGGAGCAGGGTGAAGGGGAAAAAGTTGCACTTTGGATATGTTGATTTTGACATGTCTGTGTGATACCCAGGTGATTGTTTACAGCTGAAAGTTTGCATGTATCTCAACAGAGAAGTCTTATGTGAATATTTTATTTAGTTACTTATGCCAACCTCAGTCACCAGTGAATTTGAGGTCATTTACAACAAGAACCACAAAAAAGCACAAGAGATGGAGTAAGTAAAAAAACAAGGACAGGGAGAATGTACATTCTTAGGGGAGCTATATTTATTAGAATAGAAGGTAGACTCTGAAGATGAGGATTTAGGGATCGTTAGCACATTGGCCGGAGTTAAAGCTGGTGACTTGAAGAAGTGGTAGAGGGTGGGGAGGGATGAGAGAAAGGCAGTCTCTACTTGGGAGGGTTGTGAGCAAGGGAAGGAAGGAAAGGAAGGCTTCATTTAATCTATGGGGAAAGGCACAGGGATAGAGAAGCTGGATGGATTTATAATCATGTTAGGAAATTAAAACCAGTTCACTCTGGGCTTTAGTTAGTTTCTTACTGTAAATGCGTAGTTGGAAATACGCAAGCACAGATCCTATGAAGTTCACTCTGTCCAAGTAATCTTCCTTGGCTTCCTCCCATAAATCTTTCCTTTTGAAAATAGGAACAATAGGAAAACCGACAGACCTCTTCTTCCGCCCTTTCACATTTTTTTTTTGACAGTTAGAAGCCAGTATGGTCTGATGGAACATTTTTTGCCATGTAAACCTTCCGGACTCTCCAGCAAGCCTCAGCTTTGGGGAAAGTGCGAGCTATCGTGCCAGAGTTAAGTGAAATGGTGCAGAAGTTGACAAATACCCAACAAAAATGGTTTCAGATGATTAAATTATCTTGATTTTAGGAACCTGATATAGAGGCTAGTCTGTTCTCAAGTAGGTAAGACTTACTTAGTAAGAATCTCTTGGAGTTAAAGGCACTGTCCTTTCTTTATAGAACATTGGTACTTTTGTTAATAGCAAATGATTTATTTATTTTTAATAAGAACAGGCTTATTATTCTTTACATTCTGGTATTGCTTTTAGAATGTACAGCATAGTGTACATTTATATAACTTATGACGTGATCTCCCGATAAGTCTAGTACCCTCCTGACTCCTTACAGAGTTATTACAATATAACTGACTATATTCCCTATGCTGTAGTTTACACCCCCGTGACTATTTTGTAATTACCAATTTGTGCTTCTTATTCCCTTCATGTTTTTCACCCAGCCCCCCTAACCTTCCCTCCCATCAGGCAACCATCAGGTTGTTCTCGTAGCTATGAGTTAGTTTTTATTTTTTGTTCATTTTGTTTTTTAGATTCCACATAAAAGTGAAATCATATGGTAGTTTTCTTTCTCTATCTGACTTATTTCACTTAGAATAATATCCTCTAGGTCCACCAGTGTTGCAAATGGTAGATTTTATTTGTTTTTTTGGCTGAGTAATATTCCATTTTATATATGTACATTTTTATCTAATTATCTATTGAGGGACACTTAGGTTGCTTCCATATCTTGGCTATTATATGATAAATGTCCTTCTTTGTATCTTGTTATAGCCTTTGTTTTAAAGTCTATTTTGTCTGACATAAGTATTGCTACCCCAGTTTTTTTTTTACATTTCCACTTGCATGAAATAGCTTTTTCTATTTCTTTACTTTCAGTCTGTGTCTTTTGATCTGAAGTGGGTTTCTTATAGGCAGCATATGTATGGGACTTGTTTCTCTCTCTCTCTCTCTCTCTCTCTCTCTCTCTCTCTCTCTCTCTATATATATATATATATATATATATATATATACCTTTATTGTTGAAAGTATTACAGATGTCCCTCCTTTCCCTCCACCTCCCACCCCCCACCCTTGACATCCCCCTCTCCACCCCCGCCTCCACCTTCATTGCATTGTTTTCTGTGTCCATTGGTTAGGCCTATATGCATGTAAGTTCTTTGGTTTTTCTCTTCCCACATGCTCACCCTTTCCCACCCTCTTCTTTCTGAGGTTAGTCAGTCTTTCCCTACTTTCATGTATCTGCATCTGTTTTGTTCAACAGCTTATTGTGTTCATTATATTCCACAAATAAGTGAGATCATGTGATACTTGTCTTTCTCTGACTGGCTTATTTTGCTTAGCATAATATTCTCCAGGTCCCTCCATGTTGCCTCAAAGAGTAAGATATGTTTCTTTCTTACAGCTGCATAGTACTCCATTGTGTAGATGTAGATGTACCACAGCTTTTTTATCCACTCATCTACTGATGGGCACCTGGGCTGTTTCCAGATCTTAGCTATTGTAAATAGTGCTGCTACAAACATGGGGGTACATATATTTTTTCTGATTGGTGTTTCAGGCTTCTTAGGATATATTCCTGGAAGTGGGATCACTGGGTCAAATGGCAGTTCCATTTTTAATTTTTTGAGGAAACACCATATTGTTTTCCTTAGTGGCTGCACTAGACTGCATTCCCACCAGCAATGTACTAGAGTCCCCTTTTCTCCACACTCTCGCCAGCACTTTTTGTTTGATGATTTGTTGATGGTGGCCATTCTGACAGGTGTGAGGTGATACCTCATAGTTGTTTTAATTTGCATCTCTCTGATGATTAGTGATGTTGAGCATTGTTTTCATTTGTCTCTTGGCCATTTGTATGTCCTGTTTAAAGAAATGTCTGTTCAGGTTCTCTGCCCATATTTTAATTGAATTGTTTGTCTTCTTTTTATTGAGTTGTATGAGTACTTTATATATTTTGGGTATTAACTCCTTATCCAATGTATCATTGGCAAATATGTTCTTCTATAGAGTGGGTTTCCTTTTCATTTTGATGCTGGTTTCTTTTGTTGTACAGAAGCTTTTTAATTTGATGTATGCCCATTTATTAATTTTTTCCTTTCATTTCAGTTATTATAGTCTTCATTTCTGACTGGTTTGTTTTTATGGTTTCTATCTCTTTGTGTAAGTTCTTACTGATTTCATTTTTCCTTCTCCTAAGTACATTGAATGTTCTTATAACCAGTGATTTGAATTCATTGTCTTGTAAATAGCTTGCCTCCATTTTGTTTAGTTCTTTTACTGGAGTTTTTTTCTGTTCTTTCATTTGGAACATGTTTCTTTGTTTTTTCATTTTGGCTGCTTCACATGTGTGTTTCTATATATTAGATTGATCTGCTGCATCTCCTGGTCTTGGCAGAGTGGCCTTCTGTGGGAGCCAGTGGTGCAGACTCTGAGGTCACCTGAGCCAGGTGCTCCATGGGGTCCCTTGTGTAGTTTGTGTGTGCTCTCCTATTGTAATTGTGCCTTGATTGCTGTTGGCACATCAGTGGGATTGACCCTCAGGCTGGTTGGCCATGACTACAGCAGATGAACTGTAGTTTGGGGCTCACCCCATAGAGTGGGATTCACTGTGGTGGGGCTCTGGTGCTTGTCAAGTCCACCCTTTGGATGTGTCATTTGTCGAGCTAATTGGGTGGTGCTCTGGTGGGGTCTGAAGCTGGCCACTGGGGAGGGTCTCCTGTGAGGCCCAGGTCAGCTGCAGCCTGTGCCTAGCCCATGACCACCTGGTAAGAGCGACAAAGTGATCAGTGGTTGATAGCTGGTTGTGCTGGGCTTGAAGGCACCTGGGAGAGGCTCTGCTGCAAACTGACATGAGGTCAACTGCCACTCGTGCCAGGGGTTGATGAGCAAGATG